CGCACCAGCCCTTCACCGTGCCCTCAGCCTGGAAGGGCATCGCACGCCACCTGGCGGGTTGCGGGGGGAAAGGGGTGCCTTAAACTCCAGGCATGCGCAGAGGGGGCCGTGGGTTTGCGGCCTTCCTTTGGGTAGGCGGCGGGCAAGGGTTGCAAAGCCCAAGAAATCACAGAGATGCGCCTGTTGAGCTCGGCTGGACCCCGAAGAAGAAGAACCCTTTGGCCATGAATTTCTGTTGGGGCCGCGCCATGAGCCGTGCATTCCTAGCTGGTGCATGGAGTCAGTTTTCTAGCACATGTTTGGTCCGTTTGGGGCCATGGAGTTGAGGAGGCCGGTGCTTACTCTGAAACATCATCGTTTTGTCTGCCTGTTTGGTTTGGTTTCTCCGCGGTTCCGTTGATTTGTCCTTTTGGGGAATTGGATTTTCGGCCAATGGAAACGCGAAAAGCCGGACAGGCGCTGATCGACGAACAAGTGGCCCGGCTGGTCAAAGCAGAAAGACGTGGTTGTGTGATGGTAGCTTTCGTGGTGATCCTTGCTGCTGTCGCGGTTGCCTAGGAAAGTGGTCAAATCGTTCATGGTTGCCAGGGTCCCCAGATTCAAGCTTCCCTCGTGCTCCGGTGGTTTCAACCACGTGCTCTCTACAAAAGCGAGGGCTTCAAATCCGAATATCCACCAAAGCCCCAAGCCACCAAGCTGACGGGTTGCCTAACACATGGCTTCTCTTTGCCCTTCCAGACCCGCTCCGCTGCCTCGGATTTGAATTCTCCACCCAAACCTCCCTGCACCTGACGGACACAAGGCGGTCAAAAACATGAGAAATTGAAACGGAAGAAAACAAAACACATAGACTTATGACTGAGGTTCGGTTCTGCATAGAAATTGGCCCCTGGAGCAGGAGAACAAAGGGACCCAAGGCCGATTTGTCTACCCCTTGGACTACACACTCGACAACCCTGTTTTGGATGAGGTGAAACGGGGAGACCAAAAGAAAGCCCAGAAACAACTGTTATTTGCTAGAGCATATTGTGCAGCTCTTGATCTATCTCTTCCGGATATCTTTTTTAAGGTTCTGTGAAAGATCTCTGAGAAGATCTTTACACCAAAAATATCCTGCAAAGGGATCTTGCGCAAAGATCCTGAAAAGATCCTCGGACGACACTTTAGACAGACAGATCAAACATATTTTGCAGATCCGGCAAAGAGATTGATGATCTTGACGGGATCTCTGTGCAAGATTTCTTTACAATACAAGGTCTCCGTTGTCCTTTTTTGGATCTTGAAAAACGAAGCTCCGTAGAGCATCCGGTGGAGGTCCTTCACAATATCTGTGGAAAGGATTTCTATGGAAGATCCTGAAGATCCCAAAAGAGGAACTCTATGAAGGTCCTGACAAGCGCAAAATATATAGGCTGCGTGATAATTACCGAAGTGAGCCGAAGTCCGCCAAGGGTTCACTTTCGATGTTCACAACTCGCACTGTGCAGCGAGAGCCATCGAAGACACTCAAAGCCACACAAAGGGAGCACCAATCTACTTGCGGAATTCGCACGGAACAGCGAGAGCGCACTGGAAACACACCCGCGACCACCCTTTTCCATCGAACCGTGCAAAGTCGAAATGCACCTAAGCGATTTGGGAGAGAACTGTTCTTGAGCCCGGCGATGAGGCCAACTCTCGATATCTAACCCTGCCTTATTGCTACCAAAAAAAAAGCCCGTGTGCACTGTAGAAACCATCTAACAGCTCTCCGTAGACTTTCAAATTCGCCTGTGCGTCCTCCAAACCTACCCAAAACCCTGCACAAGCGCGGAAATCTGCGCACCTGCCTATGGCTGGTCCCTTCAGCCACGCCTTTTTGGCCGGCCAGCGCCACGAGCCCCCAAGCCCACTGCAAGTCGTGGCGCGAAAATGCCGGCGCCACGTGGCTGGGCAGGACACTCGCAGCGGTGACCAGTGCTAAGATGGTATGCCTGGGCTTGGCGGCGAGGGAAGCCCCAAATCGCGGGGTGGTTTCGTGGTGGTTTCGTGGTCCCCATATGCACGCAAAAAAACAGGGAGATGGGGGCCAGGAGGGAAAGTTGCCCAACTTCTGCTGAGGAGCTCCGAAAAGAGGAATAAATGCACCTTCTCCAGCTAACGTTTTGCTATTTGCTACTGTGTTGTCTTCTTGTCTTGTTCTGGTGCCGTTGCCTTGTTGTCTTGTTGCCTTGTTGCCTCGTTGTCTTGTTGTCTTGTTGCCTTGGCAGTCGTACTGTAATTGTGTGGTGGGGCGGCGACGTGATGCTGGGAATGCTGGAGATGCTGGTGAGGGCTTGTCTGTGGTGGATTTTGACAATATTGGTGATGCTGATGATGCTGCGAATGCTGGGGATGCCGGTGAGCAGAAAGCGGAACTACATAAGATGCGTACCAAGTGCAAAATCTCCCAGCGTCTGGTGCAGAATGTGATTTAGGTTGCTGAGGTTTCTCGCCCAACCACCAAGTCACTTGACCGGTGACCCCCTGTTTGTGCTTCGAGCCGCGTGTTTCGAGTCCCGAAAGGGTCACTTGGGGTTGGACAAATGAACGCGTCCCTCAGACAGCACTGCTACGCGAGTTGCTCATGGTACACAGTGTCATCATCCGCCATGATCAACCAGGTGTCGGGATCCTGCTCAACCTGCGCACGATGCGAGAGAACTGCCGTGGAACCTCTAGGGGGTTTGCAACTTGGGACAAGTGCAGAGATACCGCGGAACCGAGGGGGACTTTCCAGCGAACATCCAGACACCGACCCACCACTGTCTTACATTCGACCTCAAAAATGGTTGATTTCCTTGAGGGTGTCTTTTCACGCCATTCACAAGGCGGCTTGCGTGTCCACACTGCCATCTCACGCCGCGTTCCGACTAGGCCTTCCGAGATCATGTTGGCCAGGGAACATGGAGACATCGATGGCAATGAGGAAATACCGGGTTTACGGAAAACATATGGCGGCCGGGAAATCTCCGAAAATCTAGATAAACCTCAAGAAGCATCTGGATTTCGAACGGGGAGCATCACCAGAATCCCCCGAATCAACTCGAGAAATCGCTGGAATCCCACGACAGTCTCATCCAAAAAGCCCCCCCCCAAGGCCCCCAAAGCCCCCAGCGTCCATCGCCTCCAGGGCCGCCAGCAGCGCGGGCCCCTCCTTCTCCCGAAGCTCCACCGACTCCAACGCCTCGGCGGCCCCTTGCGGGGCACGGCGTCGCTCGAACAAGATCCCTCGAGGCGCTGGTCGCTTCTTGACCTTTTCGGCCCAAGGCCAGGCAAAACTTGAGAAACCAAGCAGAAGAAAACCAAGGAAAAGCTGAAAGACCGAGTTGAAAAGCCCAACTTGGGAGATGCAACCTTGAGAACTTCTAGAACGGAGCACTCCAAGGCTTCCATGCACGGCACTTTTTGGAGCTTTTAGCGGGCCACAAAATGGGGCCGCGGGGATGGTGCCGTTTCGGGGATGGCGGCGTGTTTCTGTTCCAGACCCGTGCCCACATGTGTGGGATGCCCTTTAAAGGTAATCTTTATATTTCGGAGACCAATCGTTTTAGAAAGGGAAACGGATGTTTTCCACTAAACAACTGGTTGTAAAGTAGAACCGAAATGCAAACAAGCCTTCCAAAATAGCCCAAAACGGAACCAGAAAGTGGCCCGTTTGGACAATCGAACCATTCCAACAGGAAATCCGCTTTTAGAAAGGAAACCAAAGGAAACCCACCATTCAAAAAGGGACCCAAACGGAAGCCACCAGGTTGCGTTTTGTTCTTCTTCTTCCAAACGTGGCTTTAAAGGGAAGCCAAAAGGCTTTTTCGGAGCTTCGCCTAAAAGCTAAAACAGGCAGTTCCATGATTGGAGGGAGGGTACGATGGATGCCCCAAGCATCTTGCAAGGCCATCCACCAGGAGCAGCGAAGTAGATGGCGCGCAACTTCCATGTGTGTAAGCAAAGATGACAATTTACCATAAAGGGGGAAGGTGTGCCACCTCCTTTCGGCCCTTGAGACAAAGGGCCTGGATCGACTTCAGCACCGAGCGATTTACCAGGTCCTGCTTGGGGTCTGCCAGCTTCTTGCTCTGCTTCCCGCTCACCTCGCTGGGCTTTTGGCCGACCCGTGTGCCCCGTAGCTTTTGCTGCCGATGCGGCAACGCATGGGTAGGTGGCTTTGGCGCATTTTGGACCACAAGTGAAATTTCCTTGGGCTGATGTTTGCAGGGGACATATGGCTTCGTCCCCAAAACACAAAAAACTTCGAGAGCAGGCGGTGTTTGCTGTGGATCCCCTTTTACACCACCCAGCAAAAAGGTAACCTGAAAAAATGACAGACCAACTGTGGTTCACTACCTGATTTCGGAAGCTATGGAGACTTGGTTCGAGCAGGCTTCCGACGACGACGATGCTGATGCTGATGCTGATGCTGATGCTGATGCTGATGCTGATGCTTGATGATGATGACGCTGCTGATGCTGGTGCTGTTGGCACTGGGTCATGGTGATAGGGGATGGGGATGGTAGTGGTGCTGTTGCTGGTGCTGGTGCTGCTGCTGATGATGATGGTGATGGGATGGTGATTGTGGCGATTGTGGTGATGATGCTGATTATGATGGTGATGGTGATGGTGATGGTGATGGTGATGGTGATGGTGATGGTGATTGTGGTGATGATGGTGATTTTGATGGTGATGGTGATGGTGATGGTGTTGGGATGGTGATTGTGGTGATGATGGTGATTTTGATGGTGATTGTGGTGATGATGATGATGGTGATGGTGATGATGATGGTGATGATGATGGTGATGATGATGGTGATGGTGAGGAGGAGGAGGAGGAGGAGGAGGAGGAGGAGGATGCCCTTCCGCATTTTCTCAACGATCTTGCTTCTGCTGGCTGTTCGTGCCACGAGATCCACAGTGAGACTAGACAAACTAGAGAAAGAACACAAGCAGTTGGGTTTGGGGGAAGGGGGGATTCGACGAATCTCCTTTTTGACTTTCTCCAAACTTCAATGTTCCGCTCAACGCTGAAATCATGCAAAAGGTGGCATCATTTACATGGGAAATTATGGAACGCCCAGCCAGTTGATGTTCACGCTTATCATTCATAACAACAAGAACTCCGCCTTTCAGAGAACGGGAATGATTTAGAACTAGACGTCTTCGACGGCCGGATGTGCGCATTCGTCAACCCTGTTTACGGATGTCCCTAATCAAACTTCATGGACCTATGGATACGACACCCTGCACATGAGGCCCGCTGCTCTTTTCAGCCCTCAAAGCTCAGGCGGACATACTCCAATTGGAACATTGACTGCAAAGAGCTAAAGTGGGAAAGCGAAATGGCTAAAGAACGGATCTGCATTGAGGGAAGTGAGCTGAACGTACTGAAATTGAGCAAACAGTACCTAGGGCTTCCCGAGACAGCCCAAATTCGAGCACAAAGGAAGTTCATTCCTTTCCCGGCTTTCGCTTGGCCTAAAGCTAACAACGAGGACGCCTCACCTCAAACGTACCTGCGTTTTGGAAGTCACCCGTTACGTGATCGGTCAAAGGGAACCCACCCGCACAGTCAGAACCCAAGTTTTAGGCTCGGGTCCTTGAAACTTTGGGATTGAAAGAATTAACTTTGATGAAACTTTGGGATTCAAACTGCCCTTGATGAAACTTGGGAATAGAAAGAATTGCCCTTGGCTTCGGTGCAAACTCGCAAATGGCCCTTGGAAACCCGGAGCCACCCACCGCCCCCCCCTTCCCCGGCCCCGCAAGCGCCGGGCCGCGAAGACCAGCACGGCGTCCGGGCGGCAGCTCTGCTGCGCCAAGGACGTCACCGCCTCCCGGAGCCGCGATGCGCTGCCCAGGTAGGTGGACCTCAGCGAGGCCCAAGAGAACTCACTCACCTCACTCACTTCTCTCAAGGCAAGAAAGCAACCAAAGAAGCAAAGAAGGCAAGCAACGCCCCCAAAGCAGCCAACCAACCCACCAACCCACCAACCTCCTGAAACCCTGAAACAAATGGATTCGAGCGCCCTTTGATTCCTGAGGGGCGGCCAAAAAAGACAACAAGAGGTGGACCTGCTGGCTTCCCTACGATCAAGGAAGTGTCACTTGCAGCTTGACCCGCATAACCACATGGCTTCTTCTCAAGACTGAAGTTGGCTTTGTGGCTGCATTTTGTGGGCTGATTTGGGGGTTAGGTTAATGTTGTGGTTGGCAACTTTTGCTGGGTTGATCTTTGATACTTCGGTTGGGCAGACTTCGCCGGAATTCGCACCAAGAACTCGCTGGCAAGTTGCGGAAGCTGGCGATTTGTTAATTTGTTGACCCTGACCATTTGCGGGGTTGGCCACGGCTGTGGCCATTTTGAGGTTTGCCATTTGAGTGTCCGTTTTTGCTTTGGTCGGTTTTGGATGAGAGCGACAGAAAGAACGCGAGCCTCGTCAGCATGGTCGCGTGGATTCGGTGAGGTCCCCCCTCCCAATATGATCTGGGTTTCGAAACGAAGCCTCGGGTCGTTTCAGGTCGTTCTTTGGCCGAGTGAGCGTCCCGGTCTCTTACTCCCCGGTTTCCATTTTTAAAAAAATGGGTCCAGTCGCAAGGTCACGGCCGGGCCACAGGACCACCACCACCCGGGGCTTCTCTGCGCACGCACGGCTGGTCGGGCTCAAGCGCTCGGATCTCAGCGACGGGCCCAGCAGCCGCGACGGCTGGAAGTCCACCTGGCGAGTGACGAGTCAGAAGGATAGGATCAAACCCCCGCCCCCCCTGAGCCCCCCCCCCCTGTCTGGTGGACACTTAGGCTCTATTTTGCAACCTCCTTCTTTTGGGGTTTTGGCTTTAGGGCTCATGCTTGCAAAATAGACTCTAGGTGTCCACCGCCCCCCCCTCAGGATTGGAGCCAAACCCCAAAAACTCCACCCGTCCCAAACAAAAAGCGAAGATCATCAGCTAGCGCCAAAACGCGCGGTGCCTCTTGCCAAGGCTCAAGGCTCCAAAGGAATGCAACTTTCGGGTGAAGTCCTGTGCCCAGGTTCCCCCGCAATTCCTGGAAGGATGCCCAACCTTTCCACCCCAACCCTTTGAATCCCCTTCCGCCCCTTGCTCCCCCTTCTCTCGGAGCATTTGAGCCACTGTGAACACTCGTGGTGCCCCAAGTGATACAGGCGTGTGGAAGCAAGTGTTTGAAGCAAGTGAAGTCTTTCACAATGTCCAGCACCGAAGCTGCTTCTTGGAAGTCGAAGAACCAGCTATCTGCCCCCCCCCCTCCGTCGACCCTCCTGGACGCTGGGTGTGTCGGGCAGGATCAACATGCCCACCAGCACTGGCACCAGAAACAAAACCATGGTGCCATACGACGCCACCGACCACATGGACGACATGGCGCCGTCAGAGTGAAGGGCACAGACACAAAGTTGCGTTTTTTGCGGACTAAGTGCTGACAAACAAAAAAAAGAGAGAAAGAAGAGACTGAAATGATTGAAGAGCAGAAACAATGTCTTCCGCCGGACCATAGCTGCCGCACATGGAAAACTACAAGCCGGATATTCCAACAGGATCTGGGCTCGCATGATCTTTTGTCGTATGGCTTTGCCCCCAATGTTTTCGTGTTCCGTCCCGATATGCGTATGGGTCAAAATTAAACCTTTCAGGGGACCACAGGCTTCCATGTTTCCATTTGCCAGGCCAACCCATTTTGGGGTTACCCGATGTTTGACCCACGGCCATCAGACTCATTTGAAAAGCTGATCCGCCGGCATGAGCCGGAAGTGTGGCCGGTACAAACTGGTTTGCTCAATCCGTGGTGAGACACCACTGCAACATTGGAAACTACATGGCATAAGGATTGAGGATTCATTTCAACAACTCAAACACATGTTGGACATGTCGCATGCACTTGAAGCCGTACCGAAGCACGATTTGCAGATGACCAAGCGTGCAATGGGGTGTCCACCGTAATTCGACTAGTTGGTGTGCTTGCAAAATCAAATTGTGCAATGGTCGAAGCTCCTTTTACACGGGCTATGGTCGCCACAATAAGCCAGTGCCTTTTCATTGGTTGTCTAAAAAAGGACTATTAATGGACTCATGATCATCCAGCCAACTCAAGTTTAGGGTGATTTGACCATGACACAAATGATGCTGACGTTGAGGCATATTCAAGAAATCCCAGAGGTTGAGGTTGGAAATGAACCTCATCGTATAGAACCAGTCCTCGAAAGTGTGGCCCCGTACTGCCGATGTTCCGAAAAAGTCAATATGACATGTTCAATTTGGGGCCAAGATTGGCATTGAGGATAAGCCCCAATCACTCTCTCTGAATGAGGCCGTGCCTGAGGCTGTAAGGAATCTGATCTCTTTTCACCGCCATTTTTTGGCTTTCGCGGCCCGCTCTAACCTTTTGTGTTCTGCCCTGAAAGAAAAAATGGGTTCCAGGCCAGCCTGATGATCCAACGGGGGTTTGCCACCAACGCTTGGCTTGGTCAAGAGCAGTTGATCGAATTCGGGGTACAGCCGAAACCACTGGAAGTGACCGAAACCACTGGAAGTGAATCTGTTGCCGCTTCAACCCGACACAATTTTGGGCGGCCATGAGCTAGTGCTCTATTCGTAACATAGAAGACTTCTAAGGGCCAAGCTTGCCCGGGCTTTGGGGGCTTCGCAGGCTCCATGCAAGGCCCGTATGCCAACTACTTTGAATCAGTCGCCCGGTCAGTTTGTTTGCTTCCTTTTTTCCGTGGCCTTGTCACACCTGCTTCTCTGCTTCAGAAAAGCGGGCTACGGGCGCCACTGGCAGCTTGCATCGCAAGCGGGTGCAGCAGAAGGCGAGGTAGCATAGACAGAAGCACAGTAGTAGGGTGGGATAGCCAGTGGTTCGGCAATGCCTGCTGCCCCAGGCCAAATCCCGGCACTGCGTCTCATGGGTCTTCCCCCAGACGCAATCCCAGCACGCCTGGTTTCTGCTCACCAGGATCATCAGGTCCCTGGACCAGCCTTCGAGAATCCTGCAAAACAAGTCTGCTCTTTTTGTGTGTGTGTGGGTGTGTGTGTCTGGAAACGACAATGCCTATGCCAAGGCATGCTCTGACCCTGCAAACCGCCGTGACATAGTCTTCGAAGATGCATGGATGAATTGGATTTCACTGAACACTGGATACTGGATAACACGCCTGCGATGTGCTCATCGGGAAGCTTGAGTTGGGATTTCTTGCCAGAAATTGCCATCATTCAGCTTCCCTCGCAATTTGTGGTTGGGATTGGTGGTTTGGTGGTTAGGGGAGGGGAACCACTACAAGAACCAGAGGTTCAAATCCCCAAACCACCAATCCAAACCGCCAAATAGAGCTTACCTGAATCATCCCTCTTGAGGAAAAGCGTCCTTCGTTTACCAAAAAAGTCCTTCGATGCTTGAGTTCGCGATAGCTCTGAGAGATAGTGGCACAAACAAAAGGCCGGCCCTAAAACGGCCGTCCTGGTCTGAAAAAAACCGCCTCGATACCTCCAAGACCACTCCAGCTGGTCGAACAGCAGCTTGTGCTGAGCCGGGTACACCTGTTCGAAGGTGTCCTCAGCTCATGGACTTCTCCCTGGGTGATTTGGCTGTGGCTCAAAACACTGTACCCCTGGTGAACATCAAAATAGGTGGCAAATGGATGTTCATCCACCCTGAAATGGAGCCATAGGTTATGCCCCATGGCCATTTCCAATCCTGGAAGTTGTTTTGCTTTCACAAATTAAAACGGAAGTCAGGGCCTTTGCAGGTGATTGAAACGGCGTCAACCCAGCAAGCCCTGGTGTGATGATTGCATCAAATTGGCTAAAGAGATCAATAGCGCTTTAAAAAGCGACCGGAAAAAGGGCTCGGTGCTGCTTTTGTTGGTTCCACCCCCCCCCTTTAGCTCAAACAATCCCGGACTGCGAGCCCCTTCGAAGTTGCTCGTTCAATTGAACAAGTCGCCCGCGTGTTCTAGGCTCGCGACCCTCGGGCTCACAACTGTGTCTGCGACAATTGCTTCGGGCTGACACACACACACACACACACACACACACCCCACGATGCTTCAAAGAAACATGGCTATGACATACAGGACGAGATCTAGTTTTTAAAGTTGTTTGCGTGTTCAAAAGAAAACTTGCTTTCTCACTCGGCTACAGCGCCCGCGCACACTTGGCACATTGGCACAAGCAAGACAAATTGCGCTCACCCACATGCATGTGATTCTGCTTGATTCACGAAGCCCGCTACAATTGTGAGGGGCATGATACGCACACGCGCCCCAGTCATGCTTCGCAAACTTGTGCTGATGTGTCTCTGCCGGGCTGTCTTTTTTGACTATGTCTTTATCTTGCCATATCTTTGCTTGCGTTTTGCTATGGCTGCAACTTTGCTTTGCTCTGTACGCTACTTCACTGCGTCTTTACTTGGCTACATCTTTTCGCTGCTGCTCCTTTGCTTGGCTATGTCTTTACTTTGCTATGTCTCTTTTTGGCGATGTGTCTACTTTGCCTCTGTGGATGCGCGAAGATTCCATGCTTCGACTGCATTCCCACGTTCCACCCAGCTCCAAGAAGGTGGATCACTTTCAACGGGATTCTTTGGTATCAAGATGGCCAAAAGCAGCACAAAGGCTTATATAACCCAAATCCCCAAACAAACCACCAGTTCCCATATTAGGTGTGTGCCACCCCCCCCAAACTGCGACTTTTCTTTTGGCCTCCATTTCCACGAAGGTGAAAAGGGTACCCTCAGAAATACAGCACGCTGAAATTACAACCAGTGGTGATTCATGTTTCGATACACCCCCTACCAAATGGAGCGAAGTGGATGTTGTCGATCCACAATACAATGAAGTCCTCCAACCAGGTGGGTCACCCAAATTTTGAAGCTTCCCTGCTTCTTTCCTTATCAAGGTCCATATGCCCCAAAACCCAAGGGCGGTTTGCTTTTTGACGTGTTCCTTGGGAAAAACCCCCCAAGCCCGGGGTACCTATTTCTATTAAAACAAAAAAAGACTCGACGCACTCCGGTCTCGGCCACTCCGGTCCTCCAAGAAGGTGGTGGGGAGCCCGTTGATCCAATTGGGCCAGTGCCCGGGCCCCGGGAAGTGCAGCGCCAGAGGCTCCTTGGGCTCCGACTCCGCCTCCTGGGGGGCGGGCGTGAAGCGGGGCAATGGGGCGGGGGGCGCGGGGGGCCACCTGGCCGTTGGCTTGCAGCGGTGGCTTGGTTTGGTTTCGGGAAGAGGATGGCAGGCAGTTTGTTCGTCTTTTTTGGGAGGGGGCTTGTGTGCGTGTGTTGATTTTTGGGTGGGGGTAGTTGGTGGGTGGGGGTGGGTGGGGGGTGGGTGTTTTAGAAGGGAGGCAACATGAGAACGCAATCACGCGAATACGAGGCTGACCAAGGGCCGTCACACACATGTCCACATATCTTCCAACTCAAGATCCCTGACCCCAAAGCAGCATCCCGCTGCATTGGTGCCAAGAAAAGAACGCACATCCATCCTATCAGCTCCCAGAACGGTGCCTCTCATTTGGACAGCCCCCATTCCACAAGCTGCTGGGTTGCTGAACCGTTTGAGCCTCGGCCTCTGGCACGGGGCTGGCACCAAAACAAATCAGAAGCCACGTGTGACATATACCACATGTTGGGGGTCCGATGAGGCTCATCTTTTGAGGGACCCCTTCTTTTTGGTTGGTTTGAAGGAAGCTAAACAAAATCCGGCCATGTTTTGGGCCATCCTCATTTTTGAGAATTCATCGTACCTTAAAGCAGGTGGGTGTGGTCTTTAGATTCCCTTTTTTGTGCTCCGCAAGAAGGAACAAGGGAACCCTAAGACGTGCGTAGATCCCGACCTGTTTCTGGTGCTATGCTTCACACACCGAGTGAGCAAGTGGCTCATTGAGATGGTTTCCACCACCGGGACCCAGGAGTCGCATGGCACAGCCACTACCCCCTTTGGGCGCCTTGATGCTCGAGGGTCCATACTCCCCCGACGAACACCCTCGTTGATGTTGGCCACCCGAACATGTGGATTCTCGGGAAAGCACCCGTACCATCCGCAGGAAAACCCCCAAGAACCACCAGGGTTCCGCTTTTTGATCCCAAGATAGACTTCAACCCAGTTCTCCTTTTTGGGGGGGACCAAATCCACCGGGTTTAAGTCCACCCCGTAGCAAAAAGTGTGGAACCCCAAGACCCACCTACTCGGGCACAGTAAAAAGCCGGACTAAGAACCCACCGCCTCACCACCCCCACCTCCCCTCGCGAACGCCCCGTGGGCTCGCTCCGCTCCTGTAGCTCCCGCACGGTGCCGTTCACCAGCTGCAGCCTCGCATCTCCCAAGCTGCCGTCCACCACGCACAGCAGCGAGCAGTCCACGTCCAGCCCTATGGCCTCCTGAACGTCTATTGCTGGAATCCAACCATTCTTTCATGCCCAAATTTGTATGATTCGCAGGTGTCCAGCGGAATTTGAATGATTCTAGGGAATTGAATCCAACCATTCTTTTCCACCATCGTTCTTGTTGAAAATCCGGCTGGTTCCCTTGGGCGTTGATGGTTGCCTGAAAAGATTCGGATCCCTGGAATGGAAATGGAAGGTGCCCCTAGAGATATAACCTTGGGTCGAAAAAAAAGCCGCCCAAAAGTGGGGAGAAAACCCCATCCGCCAGCTTGTGGGGAGAAAGAAAAGAGCAAGATCTTCACCCAAATGGGTGTTTCTCAAACATTGCGACCCCTTCAGGCGGTTGTGGAGTCGTTTTTTCCACTTTTGCAGGCTGTTGACGGGACCAAAGCAGAAACCTCCATCCGGCTTGGCCCTGACACTCGGGCCGTTGAGAAGCAACTCTTGATACTTCGCGTCTTGTCGTAGACTCCCCCTGAGTGAACGAAGCCTAAACCCCTTCTCGCCCCCCTCCGCAAGAAACAAAAACGAGCAAAGCACATACCGAGTGCTACCCATAGGAAACCAACCAGAAAGGTCCAAAGACGAGGGAACAAAAGCACACTCGAAGTGCAGATCCGGAGGGACGTTGCTCGGAACCCGGGCAAAGTGTCCTGCAGTCTGCAAATCATCAGCAAGTCAATCAATGCTGCCATTTTGGGACATTTTGGGAGTAACTCCCAGCCAGCTTACCGAAAAACCTACAGCCTGCAAGATTCCTTCTGCTCCAAGCACGAATGGCTCTGGATAGCCGAAGAGAAACATGGCGTTGACCTTTGAGGAGGGTTCTCCCAAGAAGGTGACCCCAAGATCCGATTGCCGCATGCGAATTCTTCTCCTGAGAGCCTCAGATATATCAGCCATGTCCACTTCTTGAGTCTGGAAGACATGTGTAGTACGTCTGCGAAGCTGCGCGGTGCTTCGCTTTGTGCAGCGATTCGAAAACTCGTCCAATCCATGAAAAGACAAGGGTACAAAGCCGGAGGCACACTAGAATCCATTCGCCCTATTCGGGCACTTTGCTTAGAGCTCCGCTTCAGGATTTCATCTATAACATAAGATTCTATTCATCCGTTCATCTCAGGAAGTTGAACAGGAGGAGCTTGCATCAGAGAATCCCTGCAATTCACGAGCTATGCTGATCCTCCTGAGCCTTGACCGCATCCAAGCAAAGAAGTCATGCGACTATCAGCAATACGGGTCCCCGAATTGTCTCGTGCCTCACGTCCTTGTGGAAGCTCTTCACTTTAAAGCAACACGGACGCAAAGTGAGGCCCAAGCCCCCGGGAAAATGGCGTCCTGATGACTGAGGAAGCGCCGCTGATAATACGCCTGGTCCCCCCCATCCATCACGTTGCTGACTGGGTCGGGCACGAGCACCTGAAACGAACTCGCCCGACATGGCTACTATGCCTCTTGGTTTTGCCAATAGCCTTTAAAGGCTTAGGCCTTGCAACCCTCGTGAAACCAGGTGAACCTATGGCCAATAGAGGCTCAAACCAACGTGCGAAATGCAAAAGAGGAGCTCCCAACTCGAATTTCGTCTACTGTATGCATGATGCTTCTTCACACCTTACTAGAAATCCCAATCGGGACACAAAGGCAACGCTCAGCTGAGCTTGTTTCGGTTTTACTCCCAGGTCAACCTCTTTATACGGGTGAACGGTCAATATATTCCTTGTGGCCCCCCATAAACGGCACATGCGGGTGTGCCCCATGTCATCCCCGTAGGAGAGAGGGTTCCCTTTTCCTTCGAAATCGAGTGCGTCCTTCTCCCCGCTTTTCCGTGCCAGTGAGCCAGCCGAATCCAAAGGGGAAAATTGCAAAACAAAGAGGCAGAAATCCACAGGTCTGAAGCTTGAACGGCCACATGCAAAACCACCTCTCATTTAACAATGTGTGGGTAGCCACCAAATCTGTCCTATCTTCTTAGTTCAAACCAAACTGCTACCAAATTCTCACCTGAACCCTTGAACAACCGACAACCCAAGGTCCAAAAATGGACCTTGCGCAAGGCCAACAACTGGCAAAAGCGTAAACAGGCGACCCGCACACGTAGACACAAATACCGGGTTTGTGGGAGGTGGCACTTCTCAAGGGGGACGTTTCCCTGGTATCTCAGTGGGACAAACGTGCCTTATTCCCACAGTTCTTACCGACTCGCAAACCTTCGTCTGGCCAACGCTACACACTTTGACGTGGCTCCGGGGCGCAAACATATGTAGGCCGTCTCAGGCACGATGCTTCACAAACATATGCAGGCCGTCTCAGGCACGATGCTTCAGGTCTGTTGTGCATTGTGCAACCCACACAAACGAGCTTTCGAATCTCCTGTCTCTGTTCTCTTGGTTTTCTCTTTCCTTTTTTCCGGGGGGCCAAACCCTCTCCCCCCCCCCGTGGCCCCCCCCCCCGCTGCGCCTGGCGCAGCTGGCCGACCCTGCCAATCAGAAGCCCAGAGTTCAGATATCGCAGCGTCGTGGGCGACCGCGGGTAGTGCTCGCAGATGTCCGCCACCGGCGGATAGCAAGTCCTCTCCGCAGGGAAGAAGATGCTCTTGCCGCTGGAGCGCTCCAACCTGGAGCGACTTCTGGGTTTTGCAACGCAACATGGCTGTGGCTCAATAACATGTACCCCTCAGTGGCGCCTCGGTATATGGAACCAAACTGAACTTTGAGCCACGTGTGGCCATCTGCCTTTTGACTCGCCTCCGGTTCTTCGGGGTCCAAAATCCCGGTGGCTCCAACCAAAAACGCAACAACGCCCAGCGCCGCTCGCTCGCTCGGCGACCGAGCGGCGCCCACCTCTCGAAGCCCGCGCGGATCTTCGCCGCGTCCCCGAGGATCAGCGTGTCGAAGGCATCCGCGAAGAGCACCAGGTCCTCCGATTTCAGCCGCGCCGAGGCCAGGAATCCCCGCAGCGCGTTGATCTTCCGGCCGAGGCCCTCCGGCCACCAGGCGACCTCCCCCAGGCCCACGATGGAGGGGAGCAAGCCGTGCTGCTCCGCGCTCACCTGAAGATAGGCGTAGTCTCGCTTTATCTCGTTCATGTATGTGACCACAACCACCTCACTGGCATTGGCCATGGCAATGGAAAGCATCAAGAAAATTGAGCCTGGTTTGGAATGGGCTTGCAAGCTTTCACAAGGCTTATGAAACACAGTGAGTTTGTCTCACCAGAGTGAACTCGGGTGTTGCAAAGGGATAAAGCTGGTTACTTCTTGCCTACCCATCCCATCTCGCGGTGGATAACATCGGTTCTGACGTGACCAGCTTGAGCCAAATATCGGAGAACACAAGTACTGCATTTGCAACAAGCAAAATCACTGCAAGATGGATCGTGTCAGCATACTCTGTACATGTCAGGCAACATGTTGATAGGCAGGTCAAAACTGCACAAATCGAACAGGCGTCATTGTTTGGTACATCAGACTTTTAAGATGATGAGCTGCAGCAGCGCGCATCTGAGACATATCGTAAGAATGAGCAAAGATCTCAACTGAAACATGCTTGATTGATGTTTGCCAGAATGCTAATATGCAGCGTACTCCTCCATGCCTTCACCAGCAGCATCCCAAATGAGTCCGCATTGTGCTTCGCGTTGTGCAAAATAAGATGACCAAGCAGAAGTGGACAGGCGCACTTGGCGCAAGGCGGTGTGTTGGCAAGCGGATAGTGGTACCGCAACCCCAAGTGACTTGCCAACACCGGCTGCAGTCAATATCCGTTGATACTCGATTTTCATGGACATACACCATGTATTTGTATGTTTATATACAAACATATGCGTGCATATGTGTATACCTATATATATATATATCTATCTAATATGTGTGTGTGTGAACATTGGTCCCATCACTAGCAGGTTATTGTCTGCAAGCGCCATCGCTTGCGAAACAATACCAACTGAACCAGGCACATGAACAGACCGACGACAGAAGCTCAACGCAACGAAAACGCACCCTTGATCTCCCACGCCTTCGGACGTTTCCTCGGGCGCCATGTCTCGAGCGGCACTGAAACGCGTGTTTCTTCACGGAATCCTAGGGCATGCCCTTCTCACTTGAGATGGGCGAGGAGCTTCTTTTCTGCAAATTCTAACGGTCCATCTCGGGAAGCTGAGCCGATGGGGGTGTGCCCCTTCAGTACAGGGCATTGGGCCTGCTTTCAGGGGCTTGCCCCTTTCAGCTTCAAAAGCGAGCTCCTTCTGCGTCTTTCGGCACTCACTGAGTCGTGACATCCTCAAACTGACCCCCTACCCTCAACGGCGGGGTCCTGTAAGACCATGTTTCTTTGAAAAAGGGGGTGGACCAGAGGGGAGGAAAATCCCACAGGTTGTGTCAACGGCATTCTTGCCGGCCACCGCCACGAAGTTGCTAAGTTGCTAAGCGCTCCGATTTGGACACGAGGGACAGCAGTTCGGCCTCCCTTGGCAGCCGGGTGCCAAGGGCAAAAGCTCCGCGCAGCGTGAGGACTGGGTCACCTTTGGGCGAGGCTTCACGTGCTCGCGCCCGGTCGCCGGCAGGGTGTCTTCGACCAGGTGGACCGCATGCGCCCTTAGCGTGGAAAGTCTGGGAAGATTCGAACTGTGAAAAGAACAGGCGCTTCAGCAAAGCTGAAAACAAGAAGATCGGATGCGTCAGGCCGTTGGTTTCCTTTAGGGCTTGGAGAAAAAGCAGGTGCTCAGTGGTTTGTTTTTTTTTTTTAAGCGAGCGTCAGTCTGGAGGACCAGACCGCAAAATTCCAGCTGAGCTGGTCACGTGGCTGGTCCCAGGACAGGAACTCCTGCATCCAATGGCAGCCCACTTCCGAGGATTCGGGCCGCCGCAAGTCCCGCAGGTGCCACCCGCCTTCCAGCAATGGGATTCCAAAGTCGATGGGGAAGCCCCGCCGGTGATACCCCATCATCTGCTCGACGCATTGCTCCCCCGCCACGCCCCGGAAACACACCTCCAGGGCCTCTTCATAGGCCGTGAAGCGGTCCGGATGCTCTGCGCCCACCCAGGCGTAAGGCGTGGACGCAGGGTAGGGTCGGATCTGCAAAAGAACCCAGGACGCCAAGCTGTCCGCAGTCACCCATGGCCAAACGTTCTTTTTGCTGTCCATGTACAGCAGGAACCGGGCTTTCCCAAACGCCCGGTGGGACAACATCTTTGGAATCCTGGAACTCTGCGCTGGCGTGGCAGAATCCGGCACCTGGTCTGGCGGCAGCACGACCAAGTTCCAGCTCCCCGTCTGGCCAGTCCCATTTGGCGCCACCATCTTGGCGCTGAGCCGATCCAAGAACAGAAAGAAACAGAACATGGGGTCCTGAACAGGGTTGGTTGCAAACTTGTTTAAACCATCCGCGGCTGTTTAAGCAAGAGTCGCTTAAGGATTAAACCCTACAGTCGGGAAAGCCGCTGGGCTTGGATTTCTGTCCACATTGCCTTCGCACGATACACGCCTCGAAGCTGGGACTGCGAAAGTCAAACTCGTCGTAGCCTCCGAACAAGGCTGAGACCACAGCGATGCCGCAACTTGAAAGCCCATCGTCCAAGGGAGTTGAAAAGCTAAACTGTGGCAGCAGCGATGGGCAAGCGTCCGGCACAAACTGGGTCGAGTTGTCTCGGTCCTCGCAAATCAAGGCCGCCCTTCTCTCAAGACCCAAACGGATCTTCACTTGGCCCTCACTCTCAGTTTGGAGGGGGGTAAGAGTCTGGGCGAATTGCATGGGATTTATTACAGTTTTGAGGGGGGCGTGTCCCTTCAATCCACCACGTTAGAGGGTAAAGAAGCTTGTGTTGACAAATCCCGGCCCAACGCTCGCAAGAATCTTTGGCCAACTTCCTGAGTCATCCATTTTGATGTGCTTGCGGGGGGAGGAAAAAACAAAAGAGCTTGATGGTGCACAATCAGAGGGGGAAGCATGGTGGGCGTCATTTTACCCAAGCAAGCGCTTGAGTGCCTACCCGTCGCCCTCCAAATAGCTGAAACCTCTGCAAAACATGGATCCTAGCACCACAATCTTGAGAGGAATCTTCGAATCTGGAGGACTCGCATCTTGAAATTCATCTAAATTTCCAGGGAAGCAAAGAGGTCTATCCAAACCCAAGAATCAAAAGGGCAAGTATCTGCACCTGGTTATGGCAAGGAGACTGGTACTAGCCGTCATCTACATAAGTTTGCTTGTGGCTCAAAATGGAAGGGAGCCCTTTTTTCGGAATAGTGTCAAGGCAGAACTATAAGGAAACCAGCCAGCAATAGGCAGGTCTAAGCGGTTGGTTTCGATCAAATTTCCATTACGTAGAGTCAACCTCGGATAAATCGACCTTGCAAATTATCAGGGATTCCCCCCAAAAGTACAGGCTCCCCTCTACAAATGGTGGCACCCCGATTTTTGTCAACCAGTGGATAATCAATCTGGGTTAACCAAAATACAAATTCGACCGCTTGACGCCCCAAATGCTCATCTGTCTCCAAATGGTCGGCATTTTGGATAGGATTTGCAGCCCATTGCTTCAGCTCTCCGAAAACCAAAGGCAGTTCAGCACTGCGCCTTCGACCCCGCCTGCGCGAGGCCCCGGCGCCGGTGCTCCTGCACCAAGACCGAGATGCGCAAGCAGCGCGACAAGGTCTCCTCTGACATGTGGCTCACCTGGGCGGTCCCTTTTCGGGGGAATCAATTCCCAAAAGCAGTCTCTGATGCCAGGAAACCAACCAGGTGTGTTTGGGGAGGAACAAAATTCATGTGCACGTCTGAATATGTGTGTCTCTGAGTGTGTGAGTGTCAGTGTGCGTGTGCCTGTGCGCATGTGCCTGTGGAGGTGTGGAGGTGTGGGCGTGTTCTTTGGGGGAACTTAGCGTGGTGAGCTTCTGAAGGCAAACCCAAAACAAACCAAGCATTTTGGAGGCATCGCCAAATTTTGAGACCTTGGTTATCATCAAGTCGCCCAAGGAGAGAATATGGGTACAACAACAACCTTCGAAGCAACTTGCTTTTCTTTATGTGCCATAAATCTCCGGTCACCCGTTCGGTAGGTTCTCAAAGGGATTGTTTCGGTTGATCCATCCCAGGTCAGTGCTACCTGCCCCCCCCCCCTTTCCCCGAGCCGCGGACACTTAGAGTTTATTTTTGCAAACACAAACTCAGAAAAACAACATGCCTGCACCATAAACCCATGTCCATGAACCCTCTCCCCCCCCCTGGTTGATTCGTTTTGTGTCATCTCAGTCCACCCCTCCGCCCCCTAGCGCTTCTCCTTTCTGTCGGGACATGTTCTCCGAAACCTTTGACAACCAGGCGACTCTGACCAGCACACCCCAAGTTACCCCCAAAAGTTGTCTGAATCCCTTCACCCTGGACACCTGAAACCCTGAAACACCCGCAGGTGATTCCATTTCTCCCCCCCCCCCCCCGCCCCCGCCCCCCGCCCCCCAAATGTGCGTCCGTGGCGGAAACAAAGTACGTTGACTGACCGGCTCTTGGCAAGACTCTCTCTCTCTCTCTCTGACTCACCCCTCCCTCTTTCTCCCTCCCTGCTCATCTGTTGTTCCCCTCCTCGCCCCAGCCCCCCCCCCCCCCCCGCAGTTCCCAGGTCCCCCCAAACCGTTCCATCCGCGGCGCACTCTGGCTGCACCGCAGCGTCTGCTGCGCCGCCCCGTGCAGCACCGCAAGCACCAGGCACAGCCCGGCCAGGTCCAAGCACCGAAAGCGACTCCGCCGGCGCCTCGGGATAAGAGGAGGCCAGCCGCTTAAGCGGCTTACATCAGTAGAATGGTTTGGTTCTTCTTCTATTGAACACTTCAGCGATTTTTTTCTCCCCGAAGCTTACATTTAGAATTATGACTCAGAAAGACAAAGAAAACAAAGAGGCAAAACTGAGTCGGTTGAGTCAGACCCCGGTGTACCGGAAGAGAACCAGGTCAAGAATTAAGGCCGCACCCATTGGCTGGGATCATCTCCCAGTGGTTACTCGATGAAAGGGGATTCCCCCGCAAACCATGGCAGAGGATTCCCTGAAGCTCACCATTTTAAGGGGGTTTCCCTGAAACCAGCCAGACCCAAAAAGGGACTGGAGTTCCACTCCGAATATATAAGCCATCTAAACCAGACTCTGGTTCTCCAGATTGGCCATTATCGCGCATTAGGTTCAAAAAGAATATTTTCCATGAACACAAACCAAAATTGCTGGACTTGCAAACAAGATCGTATTTTCGGAAGCTTGAACCGGAGCAACAAGTTATTCTACAAAATGTGCAAGACATTATTCAGTAGCAATGGATATTGTAATTATGTTTCATTAAAGACAGGTTTAGCGCCTTAATTCTCATTGACATGTGAGTAGATCAATGTGCAATACATGTTGTTCACATTCTTGTTAGTTTGATGATGACGCTGCATCATGCAAATGACCAGATGCATGCTTATTCAAATTGCTTTCTTCAAAGGAGATACCAATCATTAGGATCCCTAAAACTATCCAGAAGTCGATATGCGAATAGAGCTGCATTTATGGAATTGATCGAATGGACATAGGCTTGCCTGAAACCAATGCAAAGAGCCCAAAGAGGATTCCACGTACAGCAACTGGCAGTCCCTACACCCCGATGGGCACGTTCATGTTGCAGCCTTTTTGCTGGAGAATTGGATTTTTGGTGAGGGTTGAGTCGGCAAACAGCCTTCAACTGTTCACGGCCCCCCGCCAACCCCCCCCCAAAAAAAGAACACCAAGCCTCAGGAAGTCCAATGGCTCAGCGTAGATGCTTGCACCCAGTAGGCTCAGCATCGCGCCCGCGAAGTGCCCCGGGCTCATGGTGTCCTCTCTCCAAAAACACAGCGAGCCCAGCAGCGAAACGAAGACCAGGCTCAAAACCTCCGCCATGGCGATGGAAGTCACCTGCACGAGTTGCAGCAACAGCAGGTGAAACAGCGAGTATACCCATGAAATGCGTTTCAATAACTATGAGTGGTAACCACAGCCTCTGCAGGGCACTGGTTGATGCGAAACTTGGGAAAGGGTCCAGACCTCATGTGTGTGTGTGTGTGTCATCTACACGACTTTTGACTGGTCTCGTGCCTGAGCATGAGCACATGAGCACTCCGGTCTGAGGAAATGCATCTTGGCTCAGGCTGCCCGGCAAATTGGACCCCCTGATTTTGCGTTTGGCAAATCGGCTGTCAAAATGGAGTGCCCGTCTCTGGGAAAACCCCATGCCGGAACCTTGCAACCGCTGGAACCCTCGCGTTTCGGAAACTTCCGCCTGGAAGCACAAATTCACCTTGACGTAGCTCAAGTTGAGCACCAGGCCAGCCGCGGCAGACAGCACCAGAACCAACTCCCACGGCAAAGGCGCCTTGATCACGGGCCTTCCGGGTCGCTCAGCGGCCAGAAATAGCAGCGAGCCCATCGCGAGGACGTAGAAGTTCTGAATGATCGCCAGGCCCTCGGGCGTCTGAGCCGTTGCACAAATGGCGGGCTTCTCCAGCAGCTGGAAGCCGACGTGGATCAAAGAGTTGAGCCCCAGCCACAGGCTAAACTCCAGGGGGAGGTCCCGAAGCCCGCAGCCGGCGCCGCAGAGCACCAGGGCCATGCCCCATTTCTGGCAGAGGGTCTTACCCTGGAGCGGTTCGGGAACCCCCCGCGCGTGGAGAAAAAGTCAAAAAGAGGAAGCCGGTGGCTGGCGACCCCCGATGTCCAGACACTCCGAATGGCCTCAAAACAAACAAAAAAAAGCGCTGGTGCCACATCCCACATCTTCCACACATCCCCAACACGCCTGGTGGAAGAACAGGTATTCTCCGGAGGCCACCAAGCAAAGACCAAGCGACCTCGCAGCCAGCAAGGCGGGCACAGTGACGTTGGGCTCGGAGATCAGGAGCAGCAGAAACAGCGCTGAGGGCAGCAGGAAGATGAAGAGCATGCCTCGGTTGCTTTCTGCTCCCCTGCTAAAAGTGAATAACTTTTAGTGGTTTAATGAGAAACCCCCATTAGTTGGCAAAAAGTCAAAGTCCTAACATCCCTTGGCAAAATGCACCGAAGATGCGCCTCTCCAACGGCTTCACCTGAAAGATCCCAGCCTCAGCGGTCGCATGTGGCAACGCTCAAGGCCAAAGAGGCCCCTCAACTTTCTCAAACATCCGGAACCTGACGAGGATGGATCGGACAAGCCATTCCCGCACAAGGAAAAGGCGGGTTCCTTCTAATGTGCACGGTTGGCCTTCATCCGCGTGGGGTTCGCCACAAGTATTGACTGGGCGCTCAAATTTGGAGGAACCCTTCCCTCTTTTTGGTGCTCTACAAGAACCAGGGGCACTAATTCCTTGTTGCTCAGTAGGGAATAACCGAGACATCAACCGTTTTGGGATTCCCTTAATTCGGAAACCACCTGTTGGACGGTTGAAAAGGGGGTCACCATTTCTCATTCCCTGCCTATCGAACCAGCAACCAGCAAGCTTCAGGCGATCAATGGGTTCCTACACATATGTTTTTGTCAGTACCCCCAAAAAAAAGTCAGAAGAAGTTACCCTCAAAAACCATGGGCAATTAAGAATGCCACCCACCCCAAAAACCGCTCAAGGAGGCCACCCCAAAACTCAAGAATCTAGGTACCGGTACCTATCCCATTCTTTCCAGATATCCTTCTTTTCAGGACATCCAAAACCCAGGTTGGAAACAGATCCGGCCTTAAAAGAACGATGCTTCAAAAGAATGGACCAGGAATCAACCCCTAGAAAGACGGCCACCCCACTCACCGCCGAGAAAATAAAACCCCCGCGCCGGCCACCCGCGCCTTGGCGCTGAGGCCCAGCGCCGGCGCCAGAAAGGCCGCCTGCACCAGGAGCAGGCTGAAGCGCCGCATCTCCGTCTGGCTGGCCACTTTCTGCAAGAGCAGCATGGCAGTGGAGGAGGCCTGAAGCGAGGAATCTCCGCAAGACTGGGGGGGAAGAAAAAAAGAGAACTGGTCTAACCGAAGAAGAAAAAAAAGAAAAGGAAAAAAAAACGAGAAAAAAAACAGAAGAAGAAGAAGAAGAAATGGCTTTCTTGGGGGGTATGTTTGGGGTTGGGGGGAGCCAAGAGAGAAGTCACCATGGGGTGCCCCCTATTCTCGGATTTTGAGACATGCCTATTTAAACAGATCCGAGATTGTTTCAGCCCAAATGTAAAGCAGAGGCTTCCCACAGGAGGCCAGGTCCCCTTCGTGAAAACCTTTTAGATCCTGAAGTGGAGTGAGACAGGCTACCTCAAAACGTCAAATCAGCCCCAAACGGCGGTTTAAAGGGGGAACCCAAGAGTCGTTGAAGAAAAAAAACGCCGGTTTCAGCATGTGTCAACAAGGGCCTGCCCCAACCCCAGTGGACCCCGCCCTTTGCTCTGCCGTCCCTCTTTAAGGCCCGTCATACCAAACCCCGTCTTGCAAGGGCACATCAATCCCCAGAAAGGTCCAACCGAAGGCCTCCAAATATACCCTTTCGAGCGGGGCGCGCTCGGGGGGTCCAACGGACTCTAAGAGTCAAGAGCTTGGTGCTTCTTGGTGGGGGGCTGGGGGGCTGGGGGACTGCTGTGGTGGAATGCTTTGCTGTTGCTGTTGCTGTTGCTTTGGCTTGCTCTTTCCTTTACTCTCCGTTGCTTTGCTGTAGTTGCTTGTTGACTTGGGTGCTTGGTTGCTCATCGGGCTGGCAGGCTTACCCGGCCGCTGGCTGGGCATAGCAGTGGTTCAGCATCCATTAGCTCAGCTCTTTGCTGCTTTGCAAAAACCGGCCGTGCGGAAGCCATCACATGCCCTTTGTTTGCGCTTCGTGGATAAGCCTTCCCGACTCATTGCCCACTTCGTCATGTCTTCTGATCGGCCACAGGGCCTGACCACTCAGGACTTGAACAGGAACCCTGAAACAACTGGATTTAACATGGAGATCCCGAATGCCGAATCCCAAACCACCATTCGGAAGTAAAACACCACAAGGGCAACCACCATCTCTGGGGATGCAGGCTTGAGTTTTGGACAACCCAACTTGTTTGGTCGTTCTGTTAAACAATCAAATGAGAGAGAGAGAGAGAATGCGAATTAAGTCTGGCGGCAACGAAGCAGCCCATCCAGAACTCATGGCTCATGGCGAAGGGAAGTCACCCGATCATCTCATGCCCAAAGCAGGTAGGTGTGCCCCAAAATGAACCGAACAATTGGGATGGCTTTCCTTGGCCTCCCTCAGCCAACCCTAAAAAGGGTACCCACATATTGATATGTTGTGCGCGGTAGAAACCGGTCAAACAAATGCGCATGCCCAAAGTCATGTACCTACAATGTCACGGAAAGAAGCAGGTGTTGGCCGTCTGAACGGGACAGCCACTCGAACTGTGCGCATGGTGTTGCGTAAGCTGCTCTTGCTATGACGCACTCTGCGTTTGTTTGACTTGACCATTTGAGACGATTGCAATGCATTCCAAATGCACAAATGACGTGGTCCGAAATGATCTCAAGCGAGCTTGCAACAAGTGGCATGAAGTTCCCCGCGCACAGCTTTGGTACTTCAGTGCCGAGATGTGAGCATTCCGCGGCCATGCAGCTACACAAGGTCATTTGGTTACAAGTCAGCCTTATGTAACCAGGACACGTATACCCACGTGACCTCCATATCCGATTCAAATATCTGTTGGCCCGAACTCGGGCGGGACTTTTCTCGTCAACTGCAAGCATGCTATCAATGTCGTCACACCATACGAATAACGCATGATGTTGACCCGATGCCCATCCTTTGACTTCCTTTTCCTCGTTCATCCAGTTTTGCAACATCCTTGTCCAACGGATTGTCGAAACCCCCACTCAATGCCCGTGAACTGCCAGCCGAAACAACCAGTCGCGTGAAGTTGCGCTGCTGCGCGCACCTTCCCGCAAGGAACCCTTGTGCACAGCCTCAAATTCTCAAGGCCTTGCAAGCCTCAGCCTGTTCAGTCAACCAACCTTGCATGCCCATTGCCGGCCTGCCGGCTGCTTACTTCAGTTTTGGGCCCCGGGTATCCCCCCGCATCCACGTGGCAAAAGCGGCAGCCCTTGAAGCTTTTTGGTGCCCAGCGCCAAAGCCCAAGGTTCTCACATCTCTGAAAAGTGTTTTTTGCTTTTGTTGATGTGTTTTGGGGTGTTTTGTTTTGTTTTTTGGGTTTGTTTTTTGTTATGCTTTTTGTTGATGGGTTTTGTTCGCGAAAGCCCTGCGGCGGCCTTGCAGCAGTGGTGTCCACCTTTGGCATTCTAGCACTTGCGGCCGGCTGTCGCGGGGGGGGGGGGGTGGTCTGCCATCCGCAACTTGTTGGCTTCCTGGGTGGAAAGGGGGGGGGGGGCGGCAGGGGGTGTGTTGTGGTTGTCTCCCTTCTAGGCGATCGTGTCAACGTTGTCGCTACGTTGTGTGCTTGTGAAGAAAGACTCGAGTTGTTTGTTGTGATTGTTGTGGTTTAGCCTGTTTTCAAAAACGCAGATCTCACAGCCTTTGGCGTGCGTTACTGTCTAATAAATCATCTGTTGCCATCTAGTGGATTTGCCATATGTATCTACATGTATACATATATATATATATATATATATATATATATATGTACGTATATATATATATATGTACATGTATGGTTCAGTCGGCATGAACATGCATCATATTGATGAATACACTCAGAATACATGCCTAAACGTCATCAATAAACTAAAAATGTGTGTATATATGCAAAATGGAATATAAATAGTCGTCCAATGAATGCATCGTTCTTAAAAACTCACCACAAAAAGTATGTGTATGAATATACATGACGTTATTCAGCTACATATACACAAGCAACTACATGTCCATTAAAAAAAATGTAAAAAATGTGTATATCTATATTTCTATAATTACACTTAATCTGTATGCCGCATGTATGCCTCATACAATAGATTTACAGGTGGCGCCATGATGGCGCCATGGCTAAACAAAGAGTGTAAACCGGCAGTCACATTCAATATGCCAAACACAGTGTTGGTTGAATAAACACTACTGAGCAAAGCACAAATGCACTAATATAGATATGTCAATATCCGCCGACATTGCTCGGCGTGTCGGATACTTACTAGAGGATAGAGGATAACCCCCCCCCTAACCCCCCCCCCGCCCGACGTCTATTACGTAGGTTTTTTGGGGGGGGGGGGGGTCCCCCACGTACCGCGCGGCAATTTGATGACGTTCCACTAAACGTAGTCTTCGGGGAGCCGGTGTCGCAAAACAGGGGTCCCAGGCTCGATTCCCCCTGCCGGCTTTTTTGCTGGCTTGGGCTTCCTGCATCCTTTTGCCGAAAATCTGGAAAAACTCAATGTTTTTGGACGTCCTCTTTGCGAAAACGCTGGAAAAACCGTGTTTTTTGCGGGACATACATACATACATACATACATACATACATACATACATACATACATACATACATACATACATACATACATACATACATACATACATACATACATACATACATACATACATACATACATACATACATACATACATACATACATACATACATACATACATACATACATACATACATACATACATACATACATACATACATACATACATACATACATACATACATACATACATACATACATACATACATACATACATACATACATACATACATACATACATACATACATACATACATACATACATACATACATACATACATACATACATACATACATACATACATACATACATACATACATACATACATACATACATACATACATACATACATACATACATACATACATACATACATACATACATACATACATACATTACATACATACATACATACATACATACATACATACATACATACATACATTACATACATACATACATACATACATACATACATACATACATACATTACATTACATTACATACATTACATTACATTACATTACATTACATTACATTACATTACATTACATTACATTACATTACATTACATTACATTACATTACATTACATTACATTACATTACATACATTACATACACACATACATACATATACATACATACATACATACATACATACATACATACATACATACATACATACATACATACATACATACATACATACATACATACATACATACATACATACATACATACATACATACATACATACATACATACATACATACATACATACATACATACATACATACATACATACATACATACATACATACATACATACATACATACATACATACATACATACATACATACATACATACATACATACATACATACATACATACATACATACATACATACATACATACATACATACATACATACATACATACATACATACATACATACATACATACATACATACATACATACATACATACATACATACATACATACATACATACATACATACATACATACATACATACATACATACATACATACATACATACATACATACATACATACATACATACATACATACATACATACATACATACATACATACATACATTACATACATACATTACATACATACATACATACATACATTACATTACATTACATTACATTACATTACATTACATTACATACATTACATACATACATACATACATACATACATTACATACATTACATTACATTACATACATTACATTACATTACATTACATTACATTACATTACATTACATTACATTACATTACATTACATTACATTACATTACATTACATTACATTACATTACATTACATTACATTACATTACATTACATTACATTACATTACATTACATTACATTACATTACATTACATTACATTACATTACATTACATTACATACATACATACATACATACATACATACATACATACACATTACATACATACATACATACATACATACATACATACATACATACATACATACATACATACATACATTACACACACATACATACATACATACATACATACATACATACATACATACATACATACATACATACATTACATACATACATACATACATACATACATACATACATACATACATACATACATACATACATACATACACATACATACATACATACATACATACATACATACATACATACATACATACATACATACATACATACATACATACATACATATACATACATACATACATACATACATACATACATACATACATACATACATACATACATACATACATACATACATACATTACACATACATACATACATACATACACATTACATTACATTACATACATACATTACATACATACATTACATTACATTACATTACATTACATTACATTACATTACATTACATTACATTACATTACATTACATTACATTACATTACATACATACATTACATACATACATACTTACTTACGTACTTACTTACTTACTTGCTTACATTACATACATACATACATACATACATACATACATACATACATACATACATACATGCATGCATACATACATACTTATGTACATGCATGCATACATACGAGAGAGGGAGATTGGGGAGAGAGAGGCTTCGGGGGATGGGGAGGATGGGAGCCGAGAGAGGGAGAGAGGAGGACAGAACACACAAGGGAGACAAGGAAGAGAGGAAGAAGGAGAAAAGGGAGAGGACAATGTCGGCGGACTGAGCCGGAGGCTCTAAAGTATGTGTATATGTAGTGTGTGCGTACACAATACTCTTACGTTGCATTGAGTTCCATTTTCCGCTGTATTCGAATATGCTTTAAAAAGCAGCCATTCCGGGGATTACTAATCCGCCACGGAATGGCTAAACACAAGATCCTTCCTTTGCTGAAGCAAAGACTCCACCGCTTCTAAATCCCGCGCGGAGAACTCGTATCCTCGGGCGAATTGAGCGAAGCTGGGTCTTTGCCTCGCTGTGCCCGTTTCTTTCTGTACGAAACCCTCAAATGTGGTCGGAGGATATGAGTCTTCATCTGGGTGGAGTCCACCAAAGAGTTGAACGAAACTGGCACAAAGTGCTTGCAAACCCACAATTACACTCTCCCGAAGATTAGATTTCCTCTTTTTTGGTTCTAAATCTTTGTGCAACCCCCATGCTCAAGTGTGGTGCACGAAAATGGGCAGCCCTTATCGTCACACGGGTGCGGCTCAAATCAGTCCCGTTTCACATGTTGAGCCTCACAGTCCTACAACACAAGCCCCGAAAAAACACTTGCGCTTCGCGTGGTTACTTTCCTTGTTTGGCTTCCATTGGACACCCGGACACCCCCACCCGCTCTCCTGTCAACTCCCCGGTCCTTTCTCCGGCATGGGCACCTTGTAGCGCAGGCGGAATGCGTAGAGCCTGCGCAGCGCGGTTCAAAAAGAATCAGATCTCAAGTTGGCAGGCTACCAACTTGAGGGATGAACAAGGGGCGTTTCAGTCACAAAACCCCAGGTTTCAATACAATTATAGCTTGAATAAGACTTGGACTCAGAAGATTATAATGAGAAAAAATGGTAGGTGATTTTGTCAAGTAAGGAAAACCATTTAGCTTTAGCCGAATCTGCAACTCCGCAGGGGCAGGCCTGACTTGGGCAAGCCGGGAGCTGTGTCTCGGCTTCGAGTCATCTGATGTTACGTGACGTGGATAGGATCAAAAATTAGGGAACGCCTATGTAAAGGGTCCAACACCCAAAGGGACTGTCTCATGCAAAATGCGAAGGCCCAAACTGTTGCGCGCTTGCGAAACTATGGCACCCTTCGGGCAGATCTCAAGTCGTCTCTAAAAAGTGTGGGCCACGGAATACCACACGCGCAAGACCGCGCCTGTGCTCGAACCCTTGCTCGGCATCGCCAAACGCGTAGCCCCACTCCTGTGCAGTTGGCCACTCTCTGGGCTTCGCTAGGGTCATCCACAAACGCAACTGGAGAACCTCCACGTCCAGACCCTGACGTGCTGTGGGGAACCTTCAGTATACAAACTCAAAGGTGATGATTGCAATGGGGCTGAACCCGGGGTGGCCTTGGGGTGAGTCAACTCTCAGAGCTCGACAGCACGAGATGCATTTCCAGGAACATGTTGGCGCACACTGGGCTGTGTGAAACACACAGACCTCAAAGATCATATCATTGTCGTACCTGAGGCGGAGGAATGCCGAAAATCAAAGTCGACCGAGCGGCAAGCGAGATTCATGGTCGCTACACTCCCTGCACTTGTGGTTCGGATTGGTGCCTCTGGTTCTTGTACAGGGTAAAGAAACCACCCCTGGAACACCTCCAAACCACTCCAAACCAACATGCCCCAAACCGGAACAACTCTCAGCCAGCCCTTTTCGGTTCCCCAAAAGACACACGGCCCACGGTTTGATTTGGTCAGGGGGGGAAAGGCAGGGGTGAGGGCTGGGTCCCAATCCGCCCCTCCTGCAGCTTCTGCTTCAGCTCGGTGATGTCGTACAGAGTCGCTGCCTGAAACTCCTGCGGCCCAGACGAGAGGCTCCAAACTTAGGTCCTGCTTGAAAACCCAGTTGCAAGCAGCGTTGGCGAAAAACACCGGTACTTCCTTTGCAGCCCACATCGCATTTGTTGCATGCATCCTTTTTGTTGTGTGCTAGTCCTGCTGCTTTGTTTAGTGCTAGAAAAAGAAAAGAAAAGAAACAGCAAACATACCGAGAACAGTCAGGACGTCTTGCTTGCGCCTTTCAGGTTGGAGCCTTGACAATCATAGAATCACCCAAAATCCAATGCCGGTGAACATTGAAATGATTTGCAGGGGTGTTCCAAAAGGTTGGCTTGCACCCACATAACACCCACCAGGTCCCTCAAAAAGCAGAATGGTGTTGCGGGACCCTCCATTCAAGTTCTATGTAAGCGGGTGGAAGGGGAAGACGTTGAAACCGCACATCCCGGCATGTTTCGTCTTAAACATCACCCCAAAAAAGACTGATCTTTCCCCCCCTTGGCCCGCAGGATCACGTTGGACACCGGAAAACCCAACCTGGGATTTGTGTCGCCGGCGGCTCGATCGATCCCAGGCCTTGGCGTGCAGGCACTCGTCCAGGCGCTGCCACTCGAAGTGAGGCCCCGGCTGCGGCTTTTTCGGGGGCGGCTGCACCACCTCCCCCGCGCCTCGAGAAAATTGCGCATGCAGCGCTTGCCCCAATGCGGATCTGAGAAACATCTGAGTCGAAATCTGGGTCGGAAGACTGGAGTATTGGTTCCCTGAAAACTTGGGGCAGAACATTGCTCCCTTGCAAATTCATACGAGCTCAAACGGGATCTGCTCCCCAACCAAACTCGTAATTCACCCCCCCTCTCCCCCCGCGCCCCCGGATTCTCGGATCCGGCAAGGAACAAACGGTCAACAGGCAGGCGACTAGACAAAGGTCGAGGCTTTGCAAGTTGCATCCTTGCAGGTTGGTCACACATTGACATCAAGCTGCTGGCGAACTGAATGGAATCAGTTCGTCGCTTTCGTAGAGGAGACCTCTATTAATATACCGCATCCCATGCCCATTGGGCCGATATTTCAGGAGGAATCCCGACCTTGGTGCAAACTTGGGGGACCCAGGAGGGTTCCCACGTTTGTGCTGTGTCATACGCAGAAGCATACACCATACTCCTTGTAGGGTATAGGTCAGCCCAAAAGCAACAAAATCAGTTTCTTTTGGAGAGCAACTGAAAGCCAGGATGGTGCGTCCTCGGACCAACATCATCTTGACATTAAAGAACCCGGCTAAAAAAATAGCCTCACTGGCGCGCAAGAATACAATGCTCACAGTGACGGATTGGCATATCGTCCCTGCAAGTCATAAGAAAAATGAGTCAAGCTCCAAACCTATTGGAGACACCCAGCGCCGAAATGTCCACATGGAATTGTTCGATTAAGCCCACTCTTGGTCAAGGGTCTGTCTCAGGGCCAATTGCAACGCGCAGTGGCTTGGGCAAACCAACCATCACTTTCTGACCCTTGACAATGTGGCACTTCAGCTGGGAGCGTTTCTATCAAACTTAAACGGTACCTCCAAAATGCTTGGTGTTCGATTGAATCGGTTTCTCTGCAAAAAAAAAAAAAGAGAGGGGTTCCAAAAGACAAAGTCTCTGAAAGCCAACGCCCAATGCAAGTGCCTCAGACAAATATTGGCCGAGACCTACTGTGGATGAACGAAATCCATTTCGCACCACCTAGAAAACCCTGGAGTGATGATTCCCTTGAAATTACCAACAAACATTGGGTTTCAACAATGGTTTCTCTTCGTTGTGCGAAATGGATGTCGCAACCATCCACGGTATTTGTGTTTTGAGGCCTGGATAAAGGCCCATCCAACATCCCGCCGGGACGCACAGCCCACTTAGTGCTTCAAACATATGAAAATCGGGGAGCTCCTGCGCCAAGTGGCTTGCCTAAAAAAAACAAACACGAGAACTTTCGGTTTTTCTTGCGGTTCTCCCTTTCCGGCTACCCGGACAAAGAGGGAGACTGAAACGCCGGCCGTGGAGCTAACCACGTCCCAGGGCTGCATCCGATGGCGGGCCATGACCTAGCTGAGTGGCCCAAAGGACCTGTTGGGCCATGACTCGAAACTAAACGGTCAGATCATGCCATAAGGGTGTCATTTTCAATAGGGGACCCCTTGATGGACATGAAAATTTGGGGGTTCCTATTTACCAACTACTTTGGAGGTGGTTCCCCATCCAAAACATAGCCATCATATGCCTGGAACAAAACCCCGTAAACCTCTATCTTTGCTAAAAGGGCTTATCTGGCGCAACCTTTAGTCCAACTCCTGTGGGACCTTTCCACGAAGCGCGAGCATCCTTTATATCATGAAGCTTTGCCCACGGACAGCGTCTGCCAAAAAAAAAAACATGCGCTTAAATGTTGGCCTTAATCTATTGTTAAATACATGTGTACATATATATATATATACTATGGTCCCGTGTCCCGTGTTGCTACTCCCGCTTCCCCACAATACCACGACCACAGGAAGAGTGGGTGCTTGTCCGACCCATAGCAATATATATATATATATATGTATAGATATATAGAGATAGATAGATAGATAGATAGATAGGTATGGATAGATATAGATAGATAGATAGATAGATAGATAGATAGATAGATAGATAGATAGATAGATAGATAGATAGATAGATAGATAGATAGATAGATATGGATAGATAGATAGATAGATGGACACATAAATAGATAGATGGATAGATAGATAGATTAGAATAAATAGATTAGATTAGATTAGATTAGATTAGATTAGATTAGATAGATAGATAGATAGATAGAGAGCGACAGACAGAGAGAGAGAGAGAGAGAGATGTAGAAGTAGATGCAGTGCCAGAATAGATCTTTGGACTGGCGACCGGAGGAATTCATTGCATCCATGAATCGAAGGCCGATCCGAACATGTGGACCTGGGGGTGCGAACTTGGGCCTTGCAATGGTTTCACCAATTCGGCTGATCGACGCCGCGATGCAGGCATGAGCTAGAGAAAGTGCCAAACGCCTCCCACCCCCAAAGAAAGGAAGGCTGGTATTCTTAGAAGTAGTTCTGGGAAGAGTTCTGCAAACATGCCGGGGAGTTTTATGCATCAAAGACTTCCTTCGGAACAAAAACAAGACTTCTTCGTTGAAAGGAGATGACCTGACTGAGGCTGGAATGCTGAAAGAGAAACTTGCGAGGACGCCTTGGTGTGGGGCCTACCCAGTGTTTCCAGTTGCACGTAACCGGGGAAATTAGGAAGACCCTGTGAGAACTGGAAGGCCTAGATCGCCCAGGTCGGATTGAATCCAGGTGGCATCCTTCAGAAGAAGATTCAAGGCATCGTACTGCGCGTCCGCAAACTTGCCCTCATCGCTTTCCATCTGGATGGAGATGGCGTACGACTTCAGCTCGTTGATCTCAGGATCCCCCACCCCAATTCGCGAGTTTGCATGGTCCCCCTGCGTAAAGTCGGCCCCTTCCACAAAGGGAAGGCATCTTGGAAAGTGCTCCATTCGGGCCGTGAAATTGGTGCTGCTGCGTTGGTGTTGCTACAAAGGGAAACTCACCATCCATGGGCCAAAAAGGTGATGATCAAAACCACTCATGTAGGGACCCCTGTCAAACGTGGTATAGGTCGGAGTTCAGTCGTTGGGTATGTGTTACGCTTGTCATTGATTTCAGGGCACCCTTCAATCCACTAACATGGAGCCTGACTGAGGGGTCCTGGTTTGCACTATTTTGCCTTGAAAGTGGGCTCCGGTCCTGTTCTGGGTGTCAAAGGCGAACCAGTGGGAAACCAGCAGCTTTGGAAGCGTTTGGAGACAACCCCTTCTAGATGTTGAAGGTGGTCCAGCAGGCAAAGCGCGGATGCAAACCTGATGCCTTTAACGTTGCAAAATGGTGGAAAAAAATGGTTGACCTCTATTGATACCAGAGTTGGTCCCATCCCTCCAACTACTGAACCTCAACTTTGAAGAAAGAGGGGTTCTCAATTCCTGACCGACTGTTCCACAACATCCGTTCATGTTCACAGAAAGTGGTCCCTACCACCCCTCCCTTTGCACCAGAATCCGACTGCACACAGAACCCGCTTTGGCAACCTCAAAGGCACAAGAAGTTCTGTCTCCTTGTCTCCCAATTCACTGGAAACTCCTGGCAATTGGATCACATCTCGGGGATGCACAACAGCGTCGCTAACATCTCTTGGAATCTCTGCTGGCTCTTTCTGACGGACCGAAAAATCGTGTTCAGCTCGTGGAACCTCTTTCAAATTGAAGAAAGGAACGGACATCCGATCTTCTCAAGGGCCTCTAGAAGAACCAAGCCCTGAACAACAACGCCCTAAAGGTACTTACAACACAAACACTCTATTGGGGATCCCTCCTATTTTAGCGCATACCCGGTTTGCACTTTGAAGCGCCAGTGACTGACACCCAAACTGCTCACATCTTAATGAAAGCCTCAAATGGGCAAACATCTTAAAATAGGATGCCCAAACTGGTGGCCTTGGTGGCCTTCGCACCAAACAGGCCGAACAGGCTATCCAGCAAAACACGAAGAAGAAAAAAGGAAGCCACTCCGCACACATGCCTCCGGCCTCGCCCCAAAACTTTCGCCTAAAAAACAGGAGCGACGCACGGCGCCTGGCCGACGCCCGGGATGTAGCCCTGCTGATCGACGACTCCGCTGCCCCAGAAGGCCAAGTTGTAGTCCCAGGCCATGTTCTCCTCCTCCACCAGCAGCACCCGGCGACCCTCCTGGGGGGATATTGTAGAACCTCCAGAAAAAGTTTCCCCAAGCGTCACGGAGGACCCTGCCAATCCTGTCGGAGCTTGAACCAACTCAGAGGCTTCAATCTCTTTATCCAAGTATGAACTATGGAGACCCTGTGGCGGGCGGCCTTTTAAGGTGGGTTCTTTGGGCCGATTTCAGCGGCAAATTTCTTGGGCTGATTTCGCCGTGGGAAAGTCAGGTATCTGGCTGAGAGATGCTCAGAGTCACCAAGATGATGTTAATGGAGGGAAATACTTGTTATGTTGGGGAGCGCAACTTGAGCTCCATGTGGTTTGGGGAATACAGCTCCCCCCAAAAGCTCCACGAGGAATCTTTCGGGAGAAGGACTCTTCGTTGTGATACCACCTTCGTTTTGGAGCAAAAGCCAACCTTGGGAGTATCTCCAGCCCGTAATCCCGAACCTCCCCGGAGCAGCTCCAAAAAAAAGACGGGCCCTGGCCACAAAACCGGTCACCGGGAACCCAACAACCTGGAAATGGAAAGACCCCTCTCCGGCAAGAACCCAGCTTCCTTTTAAAACCAGCCCGGAAAATGGCAGCCTCAAGAAAAGACACCCCCAAAGGGTGGCGTTCACCCCTCACATGTGCCTCACACCCATGGCAAAAGCGAGGTGTCCTTGGTGATGAGGTAGTTCGGACCCATGCCCCGCCTGGCGAAGTCCTCGGGCGGTCGAAAAACTGTGGGTTCGAAGCCCAAGCAAAAAACTCCATACGGCTGTGGGTCAAAACCAATCCATATCTGGCGCTTCACTGAAATTTGGATGTGTCTTGTGTTTTTGAAGGTAGCCTCTTGGGGTTGTTCTAGAGGCAAAGAAACAGGAGATCACCAGCCCACAAAGAGGCAAACCCACATGAACCCAAGTTCAAGTCAACGACAAACAATGTCCCTCCCCCCACGGCTCTTTTCGAGGCTCAAATATGAAGAGACACAAACCTTAAGCTGTATCAGTAAAAGCAAGGGGCACGTTTGGACCATGACCGTGGAATTCGCTAGAAGCATGTGAAAAGATGGGAGCTTAGAGCAAATGCACGGTGTCACCAACCAAGGCTGCCAAAGCCTGGCATGTACCACACTGGTCCTGCTGCACGTCTTCTGCGCACCGATCCCCTGTGCTGTCCAGGATGATGCACTTTGGTGCCACGACCGGCGCAGTCATACGATTGACCCGTCTGCGGTGATCTTTCCGAATGTCTGTGGTGCCTCGGTGGTACGCGCGGGTCATCCGGGCTGAAAGGCAAATGAATTCCGAGCATGGGCAAAACCAAAGATAGATGGAAAGAAGGAGAGCCGCATGATGTCTGTTTGAGCTACTTCATTGTGTATGATTGCGGCTGCTTACTCAAAAAATCAATGGAACTTCAACCAGGCAGTCCATTTATGTCCCTCTGACATGTGTAAAAAAAGGATAAATGAGTAGACCACCGTCCGCCGAATTGGAAGCGGTATCATGACTCTTGGTAACAAGGTGGGGGCATGTCACCTTGCCTCATGCTGAAGGTTTCCCTCAAGGAGAAACGGAACGAATCGGATCCTGGAGAGGATGTATAGATGTGTATACATATATATATATATATACTATATCTTTATATGTTCTATACATGCAGAGAGAAAAATACATTTGTATACAGAGATGCTAAACCCCAATATTGGCTATCCAAGGCTTCCCGAAGACTTGGAAGTGAGCCTGCCCCGCCTGCCCCCCACATGACAAAAAACTGAAGCTAAAAAAAGGACACGAACCAGATGCTCCACAGACGCGACGTCCCGAACTGCACACTTTGCATCCCAGGCACGGTAGACTTGGTCTGAGGAGCTTGGGCTGATGGATTTGGTATGTTTAGCGGAAAAGACGCTGTATCCTCTCCAAAGGGTTGCTGTGGGGTGCATAGATGAGGTACTGCTGACCGAACTTGAGCGCATCGACTTGAGGCTTGGCTGCCCTCCACAATAGAACCACGCCTCAGATTGCTCGTCCCTTTCCTTGATGGTCGCGATGATGCTGTGCATCACGTCTGAAACCATGGGCCCATTCAACTTGGGGATGAATTCGGCCACTGTCTGGGCAAAGATCGTCGCATCACTCTGGTTATGTGAGTCAGGCGAAGGCTGGCCACTTGAGGTTGAAAAAAGAAGAAAGTACTCGTTCTTCGTGCCAACCTCATTGTCCCATCGATCGCAGACATCCTGCCTGAATGGGTTGTCACGACAAGAGCCAATGCAGAAAATGATCTGACAACCGGTGACTTGTGCATCAATCTTCGACATAATCTGACCCAGCGGAATGTAGTCTTCTGCCCGCTCTGCCTCGCACGGAATGAAGCGAAAGCTGCCACGAATCTCGCAACCGTGGCCAGCGTAGAAAAACAAATGAGGGCCGCCCTCATTGGTCATCGGCACAATGAAATCCTCAATCGCCCTCCAAAACTTGTCACGATTCGGATTGGAGCTTGAGATCAAGTTTGTCGCCCGGTGTCCCTCAACAGCTTTGACCGCAGTGCAGATTATGTCGGCATCCGTCTCACAGGCGTCAGATGTCACTTCACCGTCATCGCCCTGGCTAATCACCAGCACAGACGCCTGGCTGGTCAGCACAGACGACGGGTTGCAACGGGGGTCGTCACCAGAGTGGTTCGACTCCACCAAATCCAAGAAACGCTGTAGGCGGTCCGTGTTGAGATTTGCCAGCTCCTGCTTTCAACAATGATTGATTGAATTCAAGACATGGCGGCTTGCAAGTTGTTGCAACGACACCCCAACCACCCCCCACCCGCGATGTTCAACAGGAAGCATATGTTCCTGGACTCAGCTATGCGTAAAAGAGCATGGGTTCGCCTTCTTTCCTTGAGAAGAAGAAAAAACAAAACAGTGTCTCCCCGACTCGCTGAGCCGTGCATGGAGGCCAATGCCCGTCTCCAAAGATGAAAGTAGTTTCCCAAAGCGCTCTGCGCACGTCCAAATGTTTGATTAAAACCGGAATCCCTTGCAATAAACCCCTGCAATTGGTACTTGGAGCCCACGCATCTTTTGGATTGCTTTTGCACCGCAAAACACACCGGGCACCATCAACCCTGACACTCCAAGCCTGATTGCACACATCCATGCACGCAGCCATGTTTCCAGTTTCCTGCAGACACTACCCTGTCAAAATGACCGACTGGCACACACCCCGTCAACTGAGACCTCCCCTCAAAAAACTGACCCAGAGACATTTTTCCCAAACAGGCCCCCACCTTCAAACCCGCCTTTTCCCGTCCCAAGCGGAGCAAACCGCCCTCGCCGCGCACGCGCTCCCTCCTCCAGCGTCTGAGTGAACCGCGCAGCCAGCCCGGCTTCCAGCTCCGCGCCGCGTCGCCTCAGGCCCTCGCAGGCCACCTCCATGCCGCTTCGGCCGCTTCGGCCGCTTCGGGCGAGGCGGGACCTCCGCTGAAGCCGAATGGCTGTGGTGGTCAAAACCAGTGGTACCCCTGGTGAGAATCAAAATGGTACATGGGTGTCCATCCGCCCCGAAATGGAGGCATAGCTTATGACCCATGGCCAAATGAAAGTTTTGCCGACAGTTCGCTAGCGCAGAAAAAACAAAATGGCGCAAATGGCAGACGTGACAGGTGATTGACCATGTTGAGGGGGAGATGGGTTCGCTCGCTTGACCCAGTGGCTTCGGCAGAAGAAGCTTTGACCCGCAACACATCCAGCTTGTAAACCAGCCAAGTTTCTGCCATGGCATGCTGCCCCAAGGATCCAACAGGAACCCATCGGTGTCCAACGGGAACAAGGAAAACATGAATTTGAGCTGTCCCTGGAGGCACAGCTCACTTTGAGCTCTTAAGATGCCAGATGATGGCTGTCATGCACCGCCTGGAAAATAGGTACCCAAAATGGAACCCTGGCAAATGGAAACACGGACTAAAACATGTGGTCCTCTGGTGGTTTATTTGTGACCCATACCCTGCTCTTGTTCAGGACGCAGCGGCAGCTTCTTGTGCTGCACCTAGGTGCAAAGGTGAGAATGATCCTGCGGCCGCCAACGCAAACCCGAAGGGCCCCCGACTCAACTACTTGTTGCCTGCACTTGACTCAGTCTATGCTCTTGGCGCGGGTGACAGCGTTGGAACGCCCCTCCTAGGTTTCGAAACCGTGGTGTCCCTGTCCAATGGAAGTGGACAAAAATGACCCCCTCCAAAACCAGAGTGACCAATCATGAAAAGCGGACAACATGACCCAACAAAAAAACAAAACGTATAGCCGTCCCACACCTTCCAAACGACTCGTAAGTCAAAGGAAGTCCTTGGCAGGACTTGCACTGGGGCAGCTTTCGGCACGTGCTGAGGCACTTCCGATACATCTTCCCAGTGACCTGAGAGGCGAATGTCGGAACACATTGTCAAAGCAAATTCCCCAAAAGCCTGATCCTGCCTTGACACACGGTGATTGGCCCTGCCACGGTACCCAAAAAAACAGTCGTGCAAGAATCATACCAGACACTAAAACTTTGCGGCGCGTTTGAACAAACCCCCGAACCAACCTGTTTCGGAAGACACGCGTCCTGTCAGCAAATGTCTTGCAGTTCTGACTCTTGCTCTCTCGACGCGACGCGCTTTGAACTCTAGAAGCAGGAATGGCAGGATGTCCCACCAGCCATGAGGCTGGGCCAAGTCCCCTGTCCAGTTTTCCGCAAACCCAACGCAGCGCACAGCTGGCACTGCAGGGTTCGCCGATGTCTTTCTCAGAGTTGGCCCCTCTTCGGTGGTTGCGAAGAGCAAACTGTAAGGAAACCAAACATGTTGGGGCCCCTCATGTTGAGACATACCGAAATGGCTTCATGAGTGGCCAGCCACAAGCAAGTCTTGAGCACGTCAGCTCGAAAAGCGCTGCTTCGATGGATGCATGTGAGGTCTTCGCTTCTGGCCCCATCCACACATATCTGGCGTTGGAATGGTCAAATGCGCCGCGGAAGGTTTGCGGAAGCAACCGATGAAAGGCATGTACCGCGGAAGTCCGCGGAAGGGACCTCTTGGCAAGCAAGGATGTGCCTTCCGAGGTTTGTGCAGAGCAGGCCGCAAAGCAGAGGCCTCGGTCGCAGCATTCTCTCTGGAACGAGCCGAAGCCCGTCGTGGCAGCATGTTTTACAAGATTTGATTCAGCAATGGCACGAAAGGAAAAGGAAAGTCTAGCGCCTGCAAGTGGAGGCCAGGCCTTGTCACAGCGCAAGCAGCAGGGCTGTAGAACAATGCTTTGGTCCTCTTGGCTTGCTGCTTCTCGCAAGCGTTGTGTTTGTTGTATGCAGCAACACCTGTCTGCTTCTACTGCAATCGTGTCTGCATGCTTCTCCACGCACACAAATTGAAACAGTTCATATCAAGCCACAAAGCTCTAAGTTCGGAGCCCGCATTGGGGACAAATGTACCCAGTGGCCAAACTTGCATCAGCAAGTTCCAAAATGTTTCTATCAAAAGGAGGCTAGGTAGCCCAGCTGCGTGCCCCGGGAACACCACTATGTTTTTGGGGGCCTCTCGTATCGTGCGTCGTTCACAGACCCTCTTGAAAAATTGGTATTTGCACGAGTCCTTGCAAAGTTTGCCCCGTTTCGGAGAGTTGCCGCAGTTCTTCCACGGAAGAGTTGGCCTCCATTGAGCAGCACCATCATGCTGGTCAGCGGACTGTTCTAATCTCATGGACAGCATGCGCTTCAACCCTGTTAATCGCATTCTTTTGTTGACATGCGTCCGGGTGTGCCAGCGCTGGCTTGCCTCCCATTCCCAATTGACCAGCGTTTTTCCGGTAGTAGGGAGAGGAACATTAGGCTTGAACTTCCTCTTCCAGGATCAACGGATGCCGTCCAGTGGACTGAACGCTGCCCGCACTTTGGGCGACAAGAACACCGCCGAGTAAGCCTGGTGGAAACCCTGATCCCACCAAAAGGCGACCCAACGCGTGATGGGCGCCTTCATCCAAGATCTTTCTCTTAAGGAATCAACAACTAGGTCCTCCAGTAGAGAGATTAGAAGGGACTTCTTTCGCGGCAGCATATAAAATCGATATGTTAACAGAATCCTCGATATGTCTTTGCTGGTAATTTCGTAGGATGCTTCCACACAATTTGAGCGCGAGTCATTGTGCCAGCTTCTTGTTGCTTTCACTCGCACAATGGGGGTGTCGGCAGGGCTCAATTGTCCACATTCATGGCAAGTTTGGTCGGCGCTGTGAGCTTTAGGCGGTGTGAGGCAGGTGTGTGCGGGGCGATGGGAAGGCGGTACCAGCCGGGGTATACTTGCGGACGTTGATTTTGTGGAGGGTATGCCATGGGGCAAAAGCTCGCTGCATCACGCACGTCCGGCACATGCCGCGTCCTGCCAAAAGCTTGGTGTTCTCAACCTGCGACAGCTGATCGGCGTTGGAGAAAGCGTCAAGCTGCCAGGCACGCCATTCCGGCGACTCTGTGCATCCCCATGCCAAACATATTGCTTTAGACAAGTTCTCTGCGTTGGTGTCGCTCCGTTCCCCTCCCACCCCACACTTGTCGCAAATCTAAGCAGACGCACAAACATGCGTCCGGGCAAGATGTAGCGGCACGGCAGCAGGTGGGAAACCAGTCCAGCCCAGACTTGCCAGGAACGTCGAAATGGCAAGTCCAAACAGACGGCAAACACGCGCCCGGGTAATGCTACTTTTGCCCGGACAGGACGCGGATTGGCCCAAACGTGCAAAATGCACCCGTGCAAAAACACTGTGACACCCGCTTTTGCATCTGGAATCTTGTCGCTCGCCTGCGCAAGCAACGCCCCGTGGTTCCTAGCAAAGCTCACTCCCTGAGTGGCTGGGATGCCAGCGAGTCAAAGTGAAAGGGGGCGCGCCATGCGCCAGCCGCGAGCCGGGCATTGGCGCTTGCTGACTGATGCTTTCTTGTTGTACTTGCGGCTTCTCTTTGGCCCCTGAACTTAAGCGCGCTTGCATCAATTTGCTCAGGGCCCTATGCTCCCTACGTGTCCTGCAAAATACAGCAATGCGCCAGACTGACCCAGGTGCCTCTCCCTGGTGAAACAAAACAATGGCGAGGCAAAAAATAAGGCCACGAACAAGTCAATTCAACACGCGCTGCTTCCCAAACTTCTGCGACAGCAATGCGGCCCGCGCTTTGAAGAGAGACTTGCATTTCTAATGACGCAATCGTGTGTTCGCATCTATTTGCAGCGTCAATGACACTTGCCTCTAGCGCCGTGCTGGACGGGCCGTAAGCGCAAATAAATTTGCTGCGGTGCGAAGTTGGATGCCTGTTGCGCAGTACACATGCTGGGCGCTCTTGCGGCCGCCGTCAGTAAGCGCAGCCACGTTCACCTTGGCTTGCTCACACTTCGCTCACACGCAGGAGGCGCGTGGGGATGCTGGCTTCGGGCAGCTGCTTCCCGCGCTGTACGTTTGCTCGGTGCGCAGTGAAAACGAGCGCTTGCACTATGACCTAAAGGGAACCTCGCAAATTTACAACAAGGACCTAAACTACCTATGCGCAACATCGCGCAGGCACTGCAAGCTGCCAATGTAAGAAACTGCCAGGGAAGGGAGCTTGCGCCTTCCACTGCCCGCCTCCAGTGCGGAATGGGCGCTTGTCATTCGCTAGTGTATCTTCTTACAAAAACACACTGTCTTCTCTTGGCCCGGCGCGCGCCTTGTGGAAAATGTGCTAAACTGAAGCCTTGCTCGTGAGACACAGGCGTCACTGCAGTTTCGAGACAAAGGCCCCGGACAACTCAATTCAACAGGCGCTGCTGCCCGAACCTTCTGCGACGGTCTCTCCCCTGCCATGCGTCTTAAAATGGGGCTTCAACCTCCACCATGCAGCACCGCGGCTGCATTTGCATTTGGCCAGAGGTAACGGTCATGCCCAAAACAGATTTGGCACTTACGGTCGAGGGGCAGCCAACAAGGCAGAGTCGGTGGAATGGTCATGTGTCTCGGCAACTGACATAGCGTGCTTGGCTTTGCAAGCCAGCATGTCAAGGGCAACACTTTGCTCCTTAGCGTCTGCAAGCATAGTGAAGCCAAAGCTCAGATGGCGTGCGAATCATTCGACTGGAAACGGCCGCTGTAAGGAAGCAGTCCTTGCGTTACTTGCGTTGTGTAACTTACATCTGCATCAGCATTCTTCTGCTGCTTGAGGTCGGTTGGTGGAAGTTGGGTCTGGGGCCCAAGCACTGTGAGACAGCAGCCCAACATGCGTCTGCCGGGCATCCCCACAAATGCTTCATTCAGCAATGCGCTAGACGGACTCCTGCCTCATGTGTCTGCCTTGCTGGGCCCAAAAATCTAGCACGGATGGCAAGCGCCCTGGAAAGTGTTTCGTACGATGCACGCTGTGCCACTGATGCGTATGAATTGATTCACTTGTCATTATCTAGAAGCCCAAGAAAGCTTCACAGTTGCGCACCTTCATCATGGCTGAGCTCGCTATGCTTAACACAGAAACATCCTCTTGGGCAACACTCGGAGTTCCTTTGCAAGGGCCCTCAACTCGCGCGCTCTTCCACCTCAACGAGCTCAGCTGGCTACCCGCGGTTCGGCGAACTCAGCAATTGTGCGTGAAAAAGGCCAAGCTTCGGACGTAACCGGCACGCCTGTTCAGAAACCTGCGCCACACACATGATGACCAAATCAACCCCGCTTTGCTGCGCCGGGCAGGCCTTGCCATTGGAACAATGGTGAAAGGAGCTAAAGTGAGCTGTCCTGTTTTACTTCTTGCTTTGCTTGGAGTTTTGCTGCAGCTATGGACATTTGCGCCGTTTACCTACATCAGCTTCTTGCCTCTAGCTTACAGGTTTCCCGTTGGAATTTGCCGGCTCCCGAAACTTTGTGCAGAAAGCAGGCTGCTAGAAGGCGATGTGTTACACGCTTTCATGATCTGAGCTGCTGATTTTGTGTTCGTTTAATATCACGATGGATGGTCAAGGATCTGTTGTCAGCCGCATTCTTTGAGCCCCTTCTTGAAAGTGAATCCCTCCGGTCGCCAACACAAAGCGGGCTGCACCCAAACGGAGTCCCCAGCTGGGGCCTCATCTCCCCCCAACCCGAATGCTGCTGGGAGGGACAACCATTGCCTCACACAAGGCCCTCAGTAGCCTCGGTGGCCAGCGGGTCCTCCTTCAATCCCTCAATGAAAGACTGGCATTCCAACAAGCCAGCTTTGTGGCGACAATGCCAGCGGTCACGACCACACTGTTGCAGTTGAGTTCAACAACACATTGGTGCGGGAAGCCTGACCGCTAACCCGCAACATGGGCGTTTGGATGGCCATGTCAGCACGCACTATGTGCACGCCGCAAACCAAAGCGACGTCAGCTATTGCCTCCAAGCCAACGGCAGCGAGCATGGCATGTTCAATGCTTTTCCCTGAACATCCAAGGTCATCCTGAAAGGAAAAGGATGGTTTAGCAGGTTCATTCCCTCATTCCCTGCTGAGCACCAGCAAGTCTGGGCAGTTCAGGATGTAGCGGCAGCTTCTTGTCTTGGGATAGACATGGTGTGCTCAGCAGATTCCTGCTGCACGTGTACTGCAACAAACGACCAGCGAGGGCAAACCAGCAAAGGGTCCCGACTCAACAGGGGGTCCACTACTTGTTGGTCTGCACTTGACTCAGTCTATGCACTTGGCGCTGGTGACAGCGTTGCGCCTCGGTTTGGAAGGCTCGGTAAACCCTGGTGTACCCTGTCCACTGGAAGCGGACAAAAATGAACCAATCATGAAAAGCGGACAGCACGACCTCCCCAACAAAAAGCAAGAAGTATAGTCACACCTTCCAAACTCTGCACTCGGGCGGTTTTCGGCACGAACAAATTGTCAGGCGAATTCCCCAAAAAACCTGGGTCGTGCTTCGCCCTGTCGACTGACGCACTCTGGTGGCACTCCGCCGCAGCAAGTGAAACTCATAGTCGACTGCGCGACCACGACCCGCCTTTGGCGGACGCCGCCGCCCTTTGCTCGGCGACGCCCACGTAGGCATGAAATGCAAGAACACGTTTTTGGAGTGTTCACCCACAGTACTTCTGCCCCAGCGCCTTGCACCAGCGCCGCAGCACCTCGTGCTCCTCCGGCAGCTCTCGGATCCTCGTGCCTCAGCGCTTCCACCTGCCGATCAGCAGAAGACTGCCACGGCAAGAAGACGCTTCGAGAGCGCGCAACAAGAGCCGCGTGGCGCCCGGACTCATGGCAGGGAGCACACTCGGAGTTCCAAGCTGCCTCCTCGTCTTTGAGGCGGAAACATCGAACGGGACGCTTTGCGACTGGTCGATCCTGTGCCCCGCCGCGGCCTTGAGCCCGTGGAGGGCGAGCGAACCTGGGCTTCGTGGAGGGCCGCTGCGATACGAGGCAGTCCCCCCTGTACGTGGGGCCGGCTGTACCCGAAGGTCTCACTGGCAGCAATGCTGGACATGGGTGTCTCTGGGACTACATTGTGGGGCGTCTTTGCGCGGGCAACAAGGCGCGCGCTGGAGGATGGACACCGCCGGCGCCGTCCGGGTGTCGCAGTGCCTCGAGCGCCCGCAGCCGCTTTGAGAGCGCTTCGACAGCCGCTGCGTTGCAGGCAGTCCGTCTTCACCTGCGTGAGGTAGTGCGGGGGCGCGTCCAGGTTAGAATCTTGATCACTGCTTCAAGCCGTAAGGGAACATGCATCAAAAGAAAGAAGAGTACGACCGACATACTCCCAGGTCCCGTGCGAGAGACCTCCCGAAAACACAGCGATGCTGATACCTCAAATTGATTGGGGGGGGACAGCGCCGCGCACATCCTCCCAGCTCCAACCCACAGGCCTGGACTGCTTGCGCCGTGTGGAGTGCGGAGACATGCATAGATCGCGGCAGACTAAGAGTCCACTGCCGCCGGACACGGGTAGCTGCATAGCGGGCTGCCTCCGCAGGCGACACTTGAGTCACACGGCCACCGAAATCAACCACTTGCGCACGGCAATAGGACACGCGGGCAGTCACGCAATTGGCGCGCCTCCTTTTCGAGCGCTTGAGCCCAGGACGCAAGCAGTCAGGCGGCGAGGCGAGTCTTTCGGTCGCCATCAGCGATGGCGCGAGGTCTTCGCACATGTGTGCCGTCTTAGTGCGTCACGAAGATGGCCCGGCCATCGACAGGACATCGGAGAGGGATCCTATAGTCGCCACTCCTAGTCTGGCTATGGATACAGGCGTCGCCAGTGCGGTCGCCCGGCTCCGATGACATGGGCTCGCTGCTGGCGTCGCCTTGAAGTTAGAATCTTGATCACTGCTTCAATCCGAAAGGGAACATGCAGTCCAAGATAAAAGGGTGCGACCGACAAACATGTACGCACGCTCTTTTTCTTTATAAGGCGTTGCTTGGAAGTTGAGGCTCAGAGGTGCAGGGGGAAAGACATCGCGTGTCCTTTCCCCGTATCTGCACCCCTCTGCGGAGCCTCCGCATATGCCCCGTGGTCAACAATGCGTGTTCGACCAGGCGCCAGGTGTGTTACCTGTGAGGCGTGAAACAATCGAAGGCATTGATGGCGGCCGGATGCAATCCGCACATCCGGCTGGTGTGCAATGCGGCACGCGGTACCAGGTTGAGACAAGTCGAAACAGTCATACGGGCGGCTGGACGCAATGTGTGCATCCGGCTTATGTGCAATGGGTGCCAGGCTGAGGCCTGGCAGTATCAACAGCGTGCGGGGCTGGTTGTGCACCGAGCCCTGGCGGAAATATTGCATGCTGTCGCTGGCGCGAGATGACCAAATTTAGCGATCTCTGCAGAAAGGTCATGGTGTGCGCCGTACCTTGCGCGTGTTTCTGCTCAACAGCTTCTTGGGAAAGTGGGGCTCCTTCACACAGCAGGGCCACTGGCACTGAGCAGGTGGGCGTTGCAGCAGCCACCGTGCAATGTGACTGTGGGCACCAGGACGCGCTGGCCTATCTACGCGCCTTTATCTTTAGAGGGGGTTTCCCAAATGGATTCTATTCTACCTGAGAGGCTCCTAGCACTCGTCCGTCCAGCATTTGACCTCGTCCTGCGAAGGATTCGAAGTCTAAAACGCTGCGTGCAGGCGTATGGCTGCAAAATAGTGACCCCTAGATATGCTTGCAATTTGGCTCCAGGTTGCATTTCAAGCGAGCCAACCTTTGCAGGGCTAAGAAAAAACAAAAAAAAAGAAAAAAAAGGGGTCCCAAAAAAAGGGGTCCCCAAAAAAAAGGGAAAAGGGGTTTCCTTTGGCAAAGGTTGACATCGCTTGAAATGCAACCTGGAGCCAAATTGCGGCGCATATCTAGGGGTCACTATTTTGCAGCCATACGCCTGCACGCAGCGTTTTAGACTTCGAATCCTTCGCAGGACGAGGTCAAATGCTGGACGGACGACTCTCAGGTAGAATAGAATCCATTTGGGAAACCCCCTCTAAAGAGAGAGCTAGAGTTGTCCGCAGTGGGGGATTCTACCTCCCACTGCGGCGGCACGGCGCCGCGTGTACGCCAAGCCGCTGAACCCCCACAGCTCCTTGCTATATGTGCTATATGTGCTATATGGGTCTTACACGCCAAGCCGCTGAACCCCCACAGTCTCCGGGCTCCTTGCTATATGTGCTATATGTGCTATATGGGTCTTACACGCCAAGCCGCTGAACCCCCACAGTCTCCGGGCTCCTTGCTGTATGTGCTATATGTGCTATATGGGTCTTACACGCCAAGCCGCTGACCCCAGCTCCTTGCTATATGTACTATATGTCAAGAGACGGCAAGGTGACGTCCCGTGGGACGCTGTGCACCGAACCCTCAAGCTTTAATACCAACCACGTAGAAAGGTGTATACGGACGATGCCGTTATAGCCGAACCCGTGTAAACGTTGTAAGGAAGAAGGAATGATAGTCACAACAGTAGTCCTGACAGTGCGGCGCAAGCAGTTGTTTTCCTCCTAATGCCAATCACGGATATCCGCAGTCACACATCAGATCTTGAACCTCAATTGTGTCTTGAGCCAAATGGCGATCAATGGAACTTGGGAAGCAACACCAACAAGGACCTCAGAACTGCTACCCAATTTCGGCACGGGGCCTAGAGGGTTTTAACATCCCCCATTTGGGTCGCATTGTTCATCATGCGGTCCAAACACCACAAAACGTTCCACTGGCCACGGCTTCAACTACGAAATCGTGTCGTGCATTCTTTTACTTGCTATCACTACACCGTTCATTCGCTGTGAAACATGCCGGGTTCGATTGTACGAAAAGTGAAACATTCATCCTCCAATCGAAGCACTCATCCATATGCAGGTGTATATAATACACTGTGGCCACTTCACTTGACCGCCAGTGAACATTCCAGCTGCCGCATTTGCGCATCGCGCAGCTGTCATCCATAAATGGGTTGGCCACAAAATGTCCACCATGCGCGCCCGCTTGTGATCGGTCTGCATATCTCCGGCAAGGAAACATCGGTGAGTAATCAATGCAAATCATAGCCATTCCAGATACCATGGACAATACATAAATAATGAAAAGATATCATCTATAAGGTAATAATTCCATCCATGAATATCCAGAGCGTCATAGTCGTCGGAATATGTAACCATGTACACATCCATTCATCTTGGACACATGAATATAAATCATGACATAAGTCGTTCCACCGAAACAGTGTCGATGTGACGCAAGTAACAGATGGGGACTGGCCCACATCGTACCGCAATCATCATCTTCACGAAGCATACCTGTCCCCAATGGACAGCCTATGGGTACGTCGGCGGAACTCCTCGTCCAAGTTCTTCTGGGCTTCTCGTGCCCGGACACACTTCTTGTTGTAGTCCTCTGGCAACCAGTGCCCTTTCCGAAGGCACCAATCCAGCAGGGGTGTGTCGCATTTGTTCGGGTCGACGGCCGAGATGATGGCGCTCACGTTGACCGCGTAGCCATGCTTGCCAAGGTTTAGGCCATCCCTCACGAATGATATATACTTACAGTTGAAAGCTAGCGCAAAACATCTGAAAATAATATCACCCACCGGGTGCACTCGGTCCTTGACCAGGAGCTTCATTTCTTCCTTGGTGACATCGAGGATTCTTGCTGCAATCC